CTATCTGGTTTCAGAAATGATTCAAGATTGGAAGATAAAACAAAATAATTTTCCAAGATTTAAAGTTGAAAATAATTCATAAAATTCAACTTACTTACAAAAAAGAAATAAATAAATAAATAAATTCTTAAAATATGGACCACATTTTAAAATGGCAAGGCATGTAGTATGGCCAATGGTGAGAAAGAAAATTTAAAATCATCAATAAGACAACTACAAAAATACACAAATATATATATATATATATATATATATATATATATATATTAATATTGACCAATTGTTTGAGTAGAAGAAAACGTTGAGACCTTAGTACCTGAGAAGTGCTTTGAAGAAACAGAGAACAATGTAGGAACACAACGAGGAGGAAGATAAGGCACAGCAGAGCGTTGTGAATACAACAATGTCTTGGGCATACGAGGGACTAACACCCCTGTTGCGTAAACTGTTGCCATCACAGGTGCTTCTCTTCTGTCTCTTTGCTCCTTGTCTGTACCGTTTTTTTCTGGTAAGTATTGCTTTCACTCTTTATATACTTATATGTATTTATAGTAAAAGGAATATAGCTTTTTTTGTACTTTACAAGTAAAGAATAACATTAAAGTACTTTTATTTTATTCAACCTTTCAAAGGAAGATACGGAGTAGTTTTTTTTTTTTTAGTATTTTACAAGTAAGGAATAACAGTACTTTTATTCTAATTTCAAAGGAAGATATCTTTTTTCTATATTTCATAAGTAAAGAATAACATTACCTTTATTCTATGTTACCTTTCAAAGGAAGATTTGACTTGATTTTGAAAACTTTGTTAATATTGAGCTATGTTGTCAGTTAAGTTCAAATTTCAATATATTTTATGATTTAAATTAGTTCTCTTTAGGAGTTTTAACCATTTGGTTTGGTTCGATTTCTCATAAAGCACTCACAAAGATTTTGATTCCAATTTGCCTTTTAAACGGTCAAAAAAACTGGGGAAAAAAATTTATTAGTACAACAATGACTAATTGTGAATTTGAGACAATAAATATCCGGAATAATTACACTTACCTCTCATGTAATTATGAAAAAATAAACAAACTTTCCTTATATTTTGGATAATTACTCTTACCTCATCTATGAGTAACAACTATTAGTATCTGTTAACGAAGCATGAGAATTTATTATACTAACCTTACTAAAAAAAGAGTGTGTATATATATATGGGAGAGTGGATTGATCTTCGCTGCGGCCACTGGCAGTGGTGGCCAGCTAACAGCAGAGATTGGTTTGTTACAAAGGTGCTAACTAGAAGAGAGGTGAGTGAAAATTTTCAAAACCTAGAAGAGGTTTTTGTAATTTATCCTATCTAGAGGGGAGTTAGTGTGGAGAAGCAAATCGAAGTCCTACGACGTCGTTTTGCTGTCTTTCTGTTGTTATTCGTCAGCTCCAATTGTCATCCCATCCCAAATTTGTGCCCTGTTCGGAGGAGTTACAGTGTACACTTTCTCTAAATTGCCATAACTACTCACAGCCATCTCATTTCCTTCACTATTTCTATACAAATTCATATATATATACATATATATAATTATATATGTATAACAGTGTTTGTATCAAACAGAAAATGTTCACCATTGAAGTCTCTAATAACTTTATCAGCTGCAGAGACATTAACACATCGTCAATAACTGTCCTAAGATTTTCTCCTGCATGACCTTTACTTTTCACTAAATTCCCTTCTAGTCCCCACCTCCCATCATCACGGAAAGTAGTAGTTATTGTCATATTGCCCTATCATAGTAGTTATTGCCTCTTGCCAACCCACAGCTCATGTCCACATATTGGGAAGTTGCTGTGTCTCACTGAGAGATCATGACTGAATCAAATAGTACACAATTCAGATTCAAATGTATTCATATCAATACACTAAGATTTTCTCCTGCATGACCTTTACTTTTCACTAAATTCCCTTCTAGTCCCCACCTCCCATCATCAAAGTAGTAGTTATTGCCATATTGCCCTATCATAGTAGTTATTGCCTCTTGCCAACCCACAGCTCATGTCCACATATTGGGAAATTGCTGCGTCTCACTGAGAGATCATGACTGAATCAAATAGTACACAATTCAGATTCAAATGTATTCATATCAATACACTAGGGTTCAAGTCAACAGTGTCTGTATTTGAAAGAAGCCCTGAAACACATTCAATAAAATTGAGCACCCAATTAAAGATTTGATGAATAAGACATTGTGCATGGCTATGAGCTAATAAAAACCCCAAATTTGAGTTTGGATCGCTTTGTTACCTCCAAAACATTCATTTAAAATTGTTAGGAATTTATGATGTATTCGGTAGGAAGGAAAGAAGAGGTGTGGAAAGAAAATAGGAACGAATGAATGAACTTCCTTTGTTCGGTAGAGATGATACAAGGAAAGAAAGAAAAATATGAAAAATGACCCATCCTTCCTCCTTTACAATTTTCATCTGCCCAAAAATGGGTGGAAGAAAAGAGGAAAGACAAGTGGACTATTATAAAAGTTTTTATCAACCCACAATTGGTGGTGGTGGACCTTTAAGTCCAATTTGATGAGTTGGTTTTGTTATCCTTTTACCATCCTAAATTATACAATTTTAAATTACAGTACTATCCTCTATAAATTACAATAGGGTTAATTCAATCTACACCCCCTAACCTTTGACCATATCCCACTTACACCCCCTCTTGGTTTCAATATTCCACCTACACCCCCTTGCACGTGACACCGTTTATTTTATCAACGGAGCTGTATGATTTTACAATTTTACCCTCAATTATATATTAATTCTCATAAATAAATTATATATAAAACTAAAAGACTATTCTACCCTTAATTTTCTATTACCTAATTGTTCCATATTTGAGCACTTTTTTAGACATAGTTAATTTATCCCTTTTTTTTAATGAGAATATTGAAACCCATATCAAAAGCACTATTAGATGAAATCCATACAGGGAAACGAAACTTAATACAATCCATCACCCAGTACATCTCCAGCTCCAAAATTTCCTTAATGTGTGGGTTCAACAACTGGTGGTGGGTTTTATCAACGTTGAAAGCTTCAAATGTTACTAGAACTTCTAGCAGGCACTACAAGCAAAAGAAATGTAAGATTTTCATTGTTTGGATTTCCCGGTGATGGGTAAGAAAGAAATAACCCACGGTGAGAAAGGATTTCATCCCATCGCCGCCGCCACCTCCCATCGTCGCCGTCACCATCTCATTAACTCTGGCACTTTATCCTTTAGTCTTATTGACCCAAACCCTAGACCCGCGACATTCAGATCTTAAATTGTCCAAAAAATTTCACTGTTTCCTCTTCTCACCATATTTCTCTCATCTCTCCTTTCCCTATCAATTCTATTTATATATGGATTGAAGTTTTACATATATATATGACGTCAACTATCTTTTGGGGAAATTTCAAAAAAACTATCCTTTTTGGTAATGAAGGAAATTTTTTTTTTGACAAGTAAGGAAATTTTGCATATAGGGATTGTTGTGATGGGCTTAGATGATTTCAGTGGGTGGAGTTTGTTGGATTTGGAGTTTGGGAAGGAGATCTTTGATTGTTAGAGAGAACGAAATGTAAGATGTTCAGGATTTATTATTAATTTTAAATAAATTAATTAGCACAAAAACTAAAAATTTATTGGATTGAACAGAATCAGAGAGAGAATCATGTGGGAGGAAGACAATGAATATATATAATACATACATATATATATATATATGTGTGTGTGTGTGTGTGTGTGTGTTTGTTTAAGTGAAATGAAGGAAGTTAACAAATTAAGGGTAGTTTTGTAATTCTGTATTGGTCAATGAGGTTAAAGATGTCAATTTAGACATTAGAAGGGTAAAATTGACCTTCTAATAAATTTCTCATGCTGACCTCAGCACACACTGTTAGTTGCTTAACGGTAGGGGGTAACTTGCTACATATGATCAAAGGTCAAGGGGTGTGCGTGGAACATTGAAACCTAGAGGGGGTGTCAATGGAATATGGTCAAAGGTCAGGAGGTGTAAGTGGAATTAACCCATTATAATATTATAAATATTATTGGATATAATAGTAAAAACAATTAAAACTTTCTTTTTCCTTCTTTCTTAACGAATATGGTAAATTATGAACTTATTCTCTTATCTTTTATCTAACCGAACAAAAAGAAGGAAATACACAATCTCTTCCCTAGAGATGTCTCATCCATCCATTTTTCTCTCCCTTCTATCCAATTTTTTTCTTTTCTACCGAACAGAGTATTAGGATCAAGTTTATCATGAGGACGCTCTTGCTTGTGACAGATTTTTTCTTAGAAATACAGTCATCCATGTATTGAATTGAACCATTTTTTATATCAAAGTCCTTACCATCTAAAATGGCATCTCTTAGCAGGGGCGGCTTAAACGCAAGGCCAGTTAGGCAGTGGCCTATGGCCCGTAACCAAAAGTTTTCTTTTAAGTGAGGCCCCCACATGAAATTTTTTATACTATTTAATTCATGTTCTTTTAAGATGTGTTCTAAATCCTTTCTTTTTTTCTCTCTCTTTTATGAACATATCTCTTCTTCTCTCTTAACTTTTTTCTTGTCCAGGGCCTCATCTCTCCTATTTTATTATGTACTCACCTTTCCTTTTCTCTCTCACCTCTTTTTCTTTTAGTTTCTTTTTCACTCACACATTTTCCCTCTTTTATTATTTTTTCATGCCGTAATGCCCTTGTGTCCCAAGTGTTGGAACCCAAGACATTGAACAAAGCTTAACGATTCTACAAACTTTTATTCTTCCTTTTTTTTTTTTTAAGAACTTCAGAATTTTCTTTTTCCAGTATAAATTTCAGTATATAAGTGTTTATTTTATTTGTAATTTTCTTTTCCTTTTTTATTTATCAACATGTTAAAAAAATGTGAATCTAAAAGTGAAAAACTTAAAATGTTGTCCGTTCTCCTTTTGAGAGGTCGACGGGGGGAAGATGGACATTTGACATGGAGTCATTCTCGGAGTTCATTGATGTGTCGTGGTTGATTGATTTGCCTTTGGTGGGTTGCCCATTTTCTTGGTCTAGTGGTCGTTTTCCTCCTACGCTCTCTTGCCTTGACAGGTTCCTTGTGTCGAGCGAATGGGAGGAGAAGTTTTCAGATGTTGTTCAGGCCACCTTGGCTTGTCCCTTATCTGATCATGTTCCACTGATGTTGGACGGCGGTGGGTTGCGAAGTAGAAGATCCCCTTTCAGATTTGAGAATATGTGGCTTCGTGCTAAGGGTTTTCTGGAACGTGTTTGATCTTGGTGAGAGGGGTATGGTGTGAGTGGTTCCCTTAGTCATTCTCTCGCATGTAAGCTGCGTCTGTTGAAGAATTATCTTAAGGTTTGGAATAAAGAGGCTTTCGGTAATTTGGTTTGGCGGAAGAATCGGGTTTTTTCTGAGATTGCCGACATTGATCGGATGGAGGGTCAGGGTATTTTGTCGGATTCCTTGACACTTAGGAGGGTGGAGTGTCAGACGGAGTTTGCTGTCATGGAGGAGATTTCGTGGAGGCAAAAGTCTAGAGCTCTGTGGCTTAAGGAGGGGGATAATAATACAAACAAAATTTAATCGACTTGCCAATGCCCATAGAAGAGGCAATCATATTGGGAGGATCCGGGTGGATGAGGCATTGTTTTGTAAGGAGGAGGAGATTTGTAAGGGTATTGCAGATTATTATTCGTTGTTGTTCACTGAGTCTGATGGTTGGAGGCCTGTGCTTGCAGGGCTTCACTTTGATTCTATCTCGGGTGAGGATTGCTCTGTTCTGGAGGAGCTTTTTTCTGAAGAGGAAGTTTTGTCAGCGGTGAAGAGCTGTAACGGGGATAAAGCCCCAGGTCCAGATGGTTTCTCCATGAGATTTCTTTCAGAGTGCTAGGAGGTGGTCCGAGAGGAGGTGATGGGCACGTTCCACGCTTTTCATGCACAGGGTTCTTTTGAGAAAAGTTTGAATGCCACGTTTATTGCTCTTATTCCGAAAAAGGGATGGGCGTTGGATGTTAGGGATTTTCGCCCTATTAGCTTGGTGGGGTGCCTTTACAAGTTGATTGCTAAAGTCTTGGCTTCTCGATTGAGGAAGGTTTTGGATGGTGTCATTTCTGACTCTCAGAACGCTTTTGTGGGAGGTCGTCAGATTTTGGATTCAGTTCTTATTGCTAGTGAATGTGTGGACTCCAGATTGAGTAGTGGGGTTCCGGGTGTTTTGTGCAAGTTGGACATTGAAAAGGCATACGATCACGTGAGCTGGAGCTTTTTCCTTTACTTGATGGAGAGGATGGGATTTGGGGAGGGATGGAGGAGATGGATTCTGTTTTGTATCTCTAGTGCTCGTTTCTCAATCCTTGTGAATGGTGCTCCGTCGGGTTTTTTCTCTAGTTCGAAGGGGTTGAGACAAGGGGATCCTATTTCCCCGTTCTTGTTCCTCTTTGTGATGGAGGCCCTTAGTAGACTGATCAAGAGGGCGGTTGAATTGGGTTTTTTGAGTGGCTTTCGGGTAGGTAGGGATGTTGCCAGTCAGCTGGAGATCTCCCACTTGATGTTTGCTGATGATACCTTGGTGCTCTGTGATGCTGACGCGATTCAGTTGAGATACTTGAGATGCGTTTTGGTTTGGTTCCAAGTTGTCTCTGGGTTGAAGGTGAATGTTGGTAAAAGTGTTCTTGCGCCGGTCGGGGAGGTTCCTGAGATTGAGACGTTTACCCAGATTCTTCGATGCCGTATTGGCTCTTTTCCCATTTCTTACTTAGGGTTGCCCCTGGGTACTCCTTCGAGGTGTGTGGGGAGCTGGGATCCGGTCGTGGATAGATTTGAGAGAGGCTAGCGGGGTGGAAGAAGCAGTATCTCTCTAAGGGGGGTCGAGTCACTCTGGTTTGTTGGGAGCAAGTGTGTTGTCCTATTCGGAGAGGTGGTTTAGGGATTAGGAGGTTGTTGCCTTTCAATAAGGCTCTCCTTGGGAAATGGCTTTGGAGGTTTGGGATGGAGAGGCGCTGGCTCTGGAGAAGGGTTATTGCGCACAAATTCGAGGAGGACAGTGGTGGTTGGAGCTCTCTGGTGGTGCGCGGTCCTAGGTGGGTGGGGGTTTGGACTGGAATTCGAAAAGGGTGCGATGATTTTTCGAACATGTTCGTTTTCGGATCAAGGATGGTAGGAGGATCAGATTTTGGGAGGATCTTTGGTGCGGGGAACTTCCTCTTGCGCTCGCTTTCGCTCGGCTTTACAGGATTACTTTTCATAGGCAGGTCTTGGTGGTTGACTATTACCATCTTAATAACGGGAGATTAACTTGGGATGTTCTGTTTAGGAGCATTTTCAGGATTGGGAAATTGAGGAGGTCACCCATTTTTTGGAGTTATTGTACCGCCGGTCGATTTTGGCCCGGGATTCTGATTGTTGGCTTTGGAATCCTAATCCTCAGGGTCGCTTCGAGGTGAGGTCTTTCTTTAGGTGTCTTACGGTTAGCTCTGGAGGCCATTTCCCTTGGAAGTCTATTTGGCGCTCCAAGGCTCCCCTCAAGGTGGCCTTCTTTGCTTGGACCTCTGTCTTGGGTAGGATTTTAACCCAGGATAATTTGAGAAGGAGGAATCAGGTGGTGGTTAATCGATGTTATTTGTGCCAGCGAGATGAGGAGACTGTTGATCACTTTCTGCTTCATTGCAACATGGCTAGGGGTTGCTGGGATTTAATGTTTGGGTTGTTTGGGATTCCATGGGTTACGCCTCTTTGTATTTGGTGGTGCATTTGGCTTGAGAGAAATCAGAGATACTTCGATGGACAGGAGAAGCCTATCTCTATGCTTAAGTTCTCTATTATTTCTACCCTTTTTTGTTGGGTTTCTAGGAGAGATTTTCGTTCTTTGGAGGAGATTGTTGTTTTTTTGGCCTCTTTGAAGGCTTGAGCCGTCTTTAGGCCTCGTGTTTGTCCTTGGGTTTCGCTCCCCTTTCGAGCGCTTTTCAATAAATCTTACTTATTAAAAAAACAAGAGAGACCCTCCGTACAAGACCATTATGTAAGGGAGTTACAAATATTATAACACTAGAGAGAACTTGTATTTCTTGTAAAAATTATATTTTTATTATGATCTTTTTTATGCACTCCATTGAGCTACAAGCCATATCCTCTACAAAAAGTAATCATTTATTTTAAAACAAATAATGTAATTTATTACAAATATATATATAGACTGTGTGTAGGATGCAAACCAGTCCAGCGGCAGGCATGAGGGACACCTAGAATCTACTCGTCATGCATTTTACTTTTTGTTTAAGAAAAGGATAAGAGAAAGAGTGACCAAGAGTTGTAGCTTAGTGGTATCTTCTCTGGAAGCGGAAGGTTGAGGTTCAAGTCTCATTAGGAACAAAATGTGGGCGCGTGACTTACAACTAGGAAAAAAGAAAAAGGAAAGAATGAATGAAAAAAAAGAGAGAAACAAACAAACTTGCTGTGATGCCAACCTATTTAGTCCATAAATCTAACAAAGAAGAGAAACCAAGAGTAAAACAGAAAATTTAACTAGAAAATAATCAATTAATGCATTGAATCTGTTTGTGAGGGAAATGCAAATTGTTATTTCAAGAAATATTGCATTTACACAAAATAGAAGAGATCAAAGATCATCACAGATAATAAACATATTCAATTGTCCCTTTGCATAGGACATCAACTACAAGTTTGGATCAATGATACAGTACTAAATGTAAGAAATAGCACAGATGTGCATTTCATGTTGCTCTATTCACGTCCAGCAATCTTTTCCAACAAGGCTTCAATATCAGAGAGTAGTTCCTTGTACTCTAACCAAGCACCTCATCGCAAAAAAATAAATAAATAAAAATAAATAAACATTAAACAAATATGAACATCTAGAGCATTTGCAATACCAAATTGGCATAGACATGTAATCAGAAATTCTCAGTTAATTTGGAATGCGTAAAACGCATGTGAAATAAAAGTAAGGTGATTTCTTTGCTATGCATGGTAAATAAAGTTTACTCGTCTTCCATACTAAATTACCAGCAAAGATAATAAACAGAGAAAGTAATTTGGATATAATGTTAGTCATTTTGTAATGAGCTTACCTTAAAGATGAGGTACCCGTAGAGAAACCATCCAGTGAATTTAAACCCAACCAACTCCATGATTTTTGGAAGCTGGTTATGAAAGAGGAATTAATTTAGAACAGTTCGCGACCAGATCCAGAGAGAAACTACATTAAACAAGAAAAAGAATTTACCAGCTACTGCAAAAACATTTCCTAATGTTTAAACAAAAATAAATTAGAAGTACAAATCAATCACTTACCAAAGGGAATGAGTTGACGGCACCAATAATAATGGAAGAAAGCCAAATGCAACTATTGCCCCACCTCCATAGACAATCACTTTGGACTTGTTTTCAAGTGCATCCCACTGTCAAAAGTAAATGATAGAATAGAATTAAAATCAAAGAGCTGACATTCGGTTTGCTTTTTGGAAACAAGAGAAGACTTAAAACCAGTTGTCCACCTGTGATATCCTTAACATGAGATGCCACAATATATGCAAGCAGATTTGGGAGAGAATGGAAGGCTCACCTTTTTCTTCAAGTCCGAAAATGCATCCCCAACTTCTGCAGAACCAGATTGTCTCTTCTGAAGCCGAGGCTTTGATCCAGAACAAAGTCAGCCTATTGGAATCTGTTTCAAAGAGAAATTACAAACATTATGCAAATTGTTTGAGATAATGGATTTTATCATTTGAAATGAACTCAGGCTATGTTTAGGCTGTCTGAAATTAGAATCTTGCAATTCGAATTGGAAAAAAGCAACTCACAAAATTGAACTAAATTTTATCCAAAGGTGCTGTTTGATAAAACTAAAAATTATGCACTGAAAATCTTAAGTCCTCAAATTTAAGCGCTGAAATTTTAAGTGTTGAATGTATTAATTTGAAAACCCATTTGATAATATTTTACTTTTTAAGTACTGAATTTAATATTTTATTGTTTGTTATATACAAAAGCTGAAGTCTAGAAGTTCTACAGATTACATTTTTGCCCTCAATATATGGTACTCATAACAAATTTATATTTATAATATAAAAATATTAATAAAATAATCACATTAATTCACTCAATGAAATATATCAATTTAACAATGAATAATAATGTCAAATAATCATAAAAAAGATGTTATCTAGAAATAGAATTATATTATATAAATAACTGATGAAAATTTAAAATATATGGATTTTGGATTACATAACATTTATGTAGGATATTGAAAAAGGTGCTAAAAATATTAAAGAAAGTAAAATTTAAAATATATGAGTTTGGATTACATAATATTTGTTAAATTGTTATGTAAGATATAGAAAAAGGTGTTACAAAAATTAAAGAAAGTAAAATTTAAAATATATTGATTTTTGATTACATAATATTTATATATGGTATTGAAAAGGGTGTTACGAAGAAAGTACTTGAAAAATAATTCTTATCCAAGAATAGAATTCTATTATATAAATAAGTGATAAAAATTTTAAAATATATGGGCTTTGGATGATATAATATTTATTTACGGTATCAAAAAGGATATTAAAAATATTAAAGAAAGTAGGTGAAAAAGAATTCTTATCTAGAAATAGAATTCTATTATATAAATATTGGTGTTAAATCAATTTGAATAGGTAACCAAAGAGTCATATCTATAATTATTATTATTATTATTATTTTGGAAATTTGGTAAAATTATATATTTTTTAAAGAATTTGTTCTATAGTGTACAAGTGAAAAAAAAAAAAAAAAAAAAAAAAAGTAACAACCAACCAAATATATATAGAAGAGTTTCACAATGAACTCACTCTATTTCCAGATGTAGAGAGAAATCGAAAAGAGAATTTTAAAGAAATTGCAAAGAGAAGTATAGAAGAGAGAGCGTTATTATTTGAGGGTAAAGTAATAATAATAAAAAATAGTTTTACAACCTAATCACTTGCGGTCTTCTGCGATAAGTGATAAGTAACCCTTTCCTGGCTTAAAATTTTTGCTTTTTTAAGCAGTAATTACCATATTAAGTGCTAAAGTAGGAAATCAAAGAGGCCATTAGACTATGCTGCATCGAATTGGAGCCTTGGAATTGGTGGAATTGAACTAATATTTAGTTCAATTCCACCAATTCTAATTCCGGCTCCAAGTTCAGAAGAAATGCAGTAGGGTTTGCGCACTCTTTTTTTTTTTACAAATAGATCCTTTCAATTCTATTGAAAAAGTGAACAGGGCCACTTTCAAGTCATCCAAACATGTCCTCGGCACTAGTCAGAAACTCATTTCAAAATATACCCAAAAATGATTTGAAGATTTTAGTTTGAAACTCAGCAAATAATTCAAGATTGGAAAATAAAACAAAATAATTTCCCAAGATTTAAAAGTTGACAATTATTCAAAAAATTCAACCAACTTACAGAAATAAAAAAATTCACAAAATATCGACCAATTTTTATTGAGTAGAAGAAAACTTCGAGAGCTTTAGTACCTGAGGAGTGCTTTGAAGAAACTGAGAACGATGTAGAAAACGAACAAGGAAGCATAAAGTTTGGAATACGACGACGTTTTGGGAATACGAGGTACTAACACCACTGTTGCATAAGCTGTTGCCTTCAGCTCTCCCTTCCTCGTCTGCACCCTTTTTTTCAGTCGAGTGTGGCATTGTATATATGTGTATATATATAATAAAAAGTTTAGTTAAGTCGCATCTCTTTAAATTCGCACGATTTTGCTCTTTTGTAAGGTCCCTCACTCTGTTGTTCTCAAAAAGATATTTATTTTGAAATGGAAAAAATAATATAATAAAAAAATTACGTGTATTTGATTAAGATTGTGTATAAATTTTTAATTTGTGAGTCGTCAATTTCTAAAAGAGATATTTATTTTGGTAGGAGTATTATAAGAAAAAAAATTAAGTTTAGAATTGTATATAAATTTAAAAAAATTATTTGATGAGTTTGATGCAACTTAACTAAACTTCTAAATTTAATATACTTTTTTTAATATATCAATATCGAATATTATTCCATTTTTTAAATACTAAAAAAAATTAATAATGCAACTCAAAGAAAGGAAATAACACTTAAAGATTAATGAAATAAAGCACTAACAAAATAATAAAATACAATAATAAGAATAACTTAAAAAAAAAAATCAATAATGGTAAAGTAGAACTAAATATGGTTTGTCAGCAACTGCCACATCAATAAATATAAAAAACCTATCGATATTCTTTATTTTTTACTATTACGATATTCCAATGATTTTGATTTCAATTAATAAACCAATGTCCATATATGTCTATTATAAAAAAATAATTTAAAATTTAAAGTTATAATTTAAAAAAAAACTGATACACCGTATAGAGTTTTGATCCCTTATTCATGAACTAACTACACTTTATATATGAACCAGTAAATTAAATTTACCTGTCCAATTTCAAACCCACTGATTTTCTTTCCTTAACAAAATTCTTTAGTCAGCTCTCTTCACCAAAATTTGTACCAACAAAATTTAGGGGGAAAAAAAGACCCTACTATTTTCACAAAGATTCACATAATTCTTTTTTCTTTTATTTTTTTCTTGTGCACTCTCAACATATCAACGCATATAAAAGAATTACACATCACGAATTAAAAAATTAATTTTCAGAAATAACGAAAATGAGAAGATGAGTATAACTTCAATTAGGGAGAGATAACTGACGGCAAATACCAATAAGATATCAAAGTTATGAAGGTGTTTTCAAATTTAACGAAGCAAGGAGCAACAAGAAAAAAAGGAAAGAAAAAAAGAATTAATCCAAGAGTTCCATCTTTTGGGCATCCGCGATACGGGATTCCTAGATTGGATTAAAAGTTGAAGTCATAGCATCCAAAGCATCGATCAAATCGTAAGTTCTCTGGGAAAGTATTAATTTTTATTCCAAGAGAGATTAGAGTAGTAGAATTTCTTTGTTCCAGATAGATTTTGGTGAAGACAATTGAGTAGAAAATTTTATTGTTTTGGTAATTGTCTTAATTATTAAATTGGGTGGTATTTCAACTCTTAAATTTAGAAACTAAAATAGGCTGAAAGTAGTTTGCAATAAAAGGAAAGAAAAGTAGTGTTTTTTGAATTGGACAAATCTAAGTATCTAACTGTCCACATACAAAGTGTAAATATATATGTATATTAGCTGAAAGTAGTTTGCAATAAAAGGAAAGAAAACTAAGTGTGTTTTGAATTGGGCAAATCTAAGTATCTAACTGTCCACATACAAAGTGTAAATATATATGTGTATTATAAAAAAATTGTGTATATATACGGGAAAGTGGATTGATCTTTGGTGTCGTTACTTGCCAGTAATAGTAAGAATCAATTTGTTACTAAAGTGTTGATTTATAATAAATCTTTATCAATAAAAATGTACATGGTCCTCATAGTTGATACGAATTATTATTACCAAATCAGAGATGACGGTACACTATATTTACTTTAATAAGTAAATATTTGCCCCATCTTCTTTGATTTAATAATTAAAGATGACTTACGGATTAGAACCTAAGTCCTATTCACCAGAAGAGTCGGTGGGTGACTGAAAAATTTAAAACTTGTTGGAGGTTTTTGTAATTTGTCATATTTAGGGGGATTAGTGTAATTTACTTTAGGGAGAGAAGCAAATGGAAGCCCTACGACGTCGTTTTGTGGTCTTTCTGTTATCCGTCAGCGGCGATTCCCACCCTATCCCAATTTGCACCCTGTTCGGAGAAGAAACAGTGTACACTCAACTCCCTCTAAATTGCCACTGCCACTCAACTATCTCTTTCCTTCGCTATTTGTATACAAATTCATATATAACACACACACACACACATATATTTATATGTATATATAACTATATATGTATAATAGTGTTTGTATCAAACAGAAAATGTTGGCCATTGCAGTCCCTAATACCTTTATCAGTTGCAGAGACGTTAACACCTTGTCAAAAATTGTCCCAAGATTTTATACTACTTGCCCTTTACTTTTCTCTAAATTCCCCTCTAGTCCCCACCTCCAACCATCACGGAGAGTAGTAGTTTTGTCCTCCAAGTCCCCTGAAGAAGCAGAGCTGTCTTCAACAGAGGACGAGTGGCTCAAGAGGCTACCTGAGAAGAAGAAGCCTCTCTACTCTCACAGCCTACCTTGCGTGGAGGCATGGTTGAAGAACTTAGGGTTTTTCCAGAGCAAAGAGGATCGAGCGCTTTGGTTCGTCCAAAAGCCTGATTGGCACGCTCAGTTGTCTCTTGATGTCACCGACCTCTATATAAGGTATGTTACCCTTTCAATTTCATTAATATATATATATATATATATATATATATATATATATATATAATATCTGTTTGCATATGTGTGATTGAAATTTGGGTTTTTTTAGCGTCAGTGTAATTAATTCAATATGGATCTCTATGATTTGTTGTTTGGTCATGATATAGCTAAGAATTCATCATTGCTTTGAATGACCTTGATAATAATTCTGTTAGGCATCTTTCTACTATATAGCTCTAAGGTTTGTTACACACAAATTTCATAAATATGTAAAGTACCTGATTGAAGTTTGAGGTTTTAAGGCTCAGTGCAATTGTTATGGTGTTACTCGAAATGGGTTTTTATGATTTTGTTGTTTGGTCATGAGATGGCTAAGAATTCGTCATTATTTTGATGCCCTTGATAATCATTCTGTTAGTCATCTTTCTACCATATAAGGTCTGTTAAACACACAAATTTCATAAATATATTTAGTGTCTGATTGAAGTTTGGGTTTTTTTTAATGGTCAGTGCAATTGTTGTGGTGTTACTCGATATTGATCTCTCTGATTTTGTTGTTTGGTGATGAGATGGCAATGAATATACCATCCTTGTGGATTCCTTCGACAATAGTTCTGTTATGCATCCTTTTTTTGTTTTCACATTGTCAATATCACTGCCAGTACAGGGGTTGCCAATTTAAGGGTTGATTCCTTGTTTAATTAGGGATTTGCTTTTTCACGATTTGGGAAGAGAACTAGAGTTTTGCATAAAAAGTCACTTATTTTGCTATGTTTAGGCTTTTGCATTTTAGTGTCATAAAGAAAAACTGGTTTTGGATAGTTGTTTGATTGTTAATGTGCATCTGGTGTTGCATTTCAATGTCGGGAGAAAATAAGGGTTTGTGTAGTGGATTGATGGCTTGTGTATCGAGATAATACAATTTTTTAAAGAAAAAAGGTTGGGACTTTGGGTAGTTGATGGATAAATACATACAGAAGGTTTACAATGTTTCAATAGAAAGGGTTTTAAAAAGTTTATTGCCATGGAATTGTAATTTCCCTTTGTTCAATCGAAGACCGAAAGCTAGGGTCTTTGCCTCTTTGGTACTTGATTTATTACTGGGATTTGGGCTCGGATTTTTGATGTCATGTGAAAGACACTTTTGTCACTGGTTGATTGCTGGTGTACTGGGGTGTGCATTAATGTTATAGAGAGAGTTCTGGATAATTGATTGATTGTGGTTCAGTTTAAAGATTTATTTATTTATTTTCTTGTTTGTTTCTTTAAAACAAAGTCTGCTTCTTACTAAAATCATAATTGTGATTAAACTAAAGAAGTCATTCTATGATTTCTTACTAAGTGGCTAAAACTCTTACTTGATTGATTGTTTGGACTTTGAGTTGCTCTTTCATGACATTTGATATTGTGAGAGAACACCGAGGGTGGATGAGAGAGCATAGGCAAGGAAACTTGAAAATTTAATTAAATTCTGTATTTATGTTTCAAATCTGGAATAAATTTGAGAGTTGACTACTTGATCAATTAGGTGGTGGTGGACTTTTCACAAAATTGAATCAGTGATGACTCTTTTCTGTCTTTCCATCAGTTGTCTTGAGTCATGTTGCTTAAAGTTGTAAGAAATATTGCTTAAATGCTTGTGATTTCAAAATTACCTGTTATTTGTAATTTGGAAAATGCATTTCAGTCCAAAAAGCAGAATTTGAACAAGAGAAGGAGGCTGTGGCTCTTGTAATTTTCATTAGTTGCTTCACTTTCTACATTTCTTTTTGTGTCTTTTTTGACAATGACATCTACGTTATTTTAGATTTGTAAAATAAGTCGAATCAATGGTGACCATTTTGGTGATAGCACCAAAATGTGATGATCTTGCAATGTTACCTTGAGATTGATCACCTCTCTCTTGCCTTTTATCCATACAATTACTGGGTCTTTAAGTTGATTTTAGGATAAGGAAAAAAAAAAAAAAACTTCAGATTATGACAAAAGAAATGGTGACATGACCTCAATCCTGTCATCTTTATTAATCAATCCTAGGCCAAACCATAAAACAGGTTGGGAATATTTTATTTTTAAAGAATTCAAAGAAAAAGAAGAGAGAGATTTTATGCTCCATTTGGTACAATGAATAGAACTGTAGGGAAGTAAAGGTCAAAGGGATGGAAGATGTGTTATCAAGAAAAGAATGAGAAATGAGCACATCTCTCATGTTGTTTGGTTGAGTTAAAAAGGAAATGGAAAGGAAGGAAAGGGGTATTATGTAATTTGACTACTGTCCCCTTCAATAATTCATTTCTTGTTTCTTTTATTATTATTATTATTATTATTTTCCTGAATATATTATTATTATTATTTGATTTGATTTGAATTTTTTTTTTTTGTGAAAAAGTAAAAAGAGGAGGAAGTTGTTTCCCTCCTATTTCCACTCACTTTTAGACAGAAGCCGGCCTAGAGGGAGACCTTCCCTTCCTTCCCCTTGGCCTAGTCCCTCCGGTAGTCAGGGAAAGCTCCTCCTCAGCAATAACCAACCCCCTTCTCCCCACTCTTTCTTTTTCCCAGATCCTCCTTTTCTTCATTATTCCCCACACCCCAAACATAGCACCGAGCCCATGCTGAAATATAGCCCAAAGCAAATTTAAACCATAGCAGTTTCAGTTGTGTTGGTTGAAATTAAGAGAACAATTAACCAAACACTAAGACATGGAAGAAGATAATATTGGGTTAGCTTCACGCTCTGGAGATTGACCATGAAAGCTATTCTGCAATGTCAATCACCAGAAGAAAAAAAAAAAATTATGGAGAAGAAGAAAGACCACAATATGGTTGTTATTCACTGAAGAGAGAAGAATAGCATGATCAGGTCCTTGGATGGATTATTCTGAGTGGGTTAGAAAAGGAATGAGTAATGGATGGATGTCTTGCTGTAATCTAAGAGAAATAATAGACAGAGATCATGGAAGGCACTGGTCTCTTATCTCACATATATATATTATTGTTTAAAAAAAATCAATTTATTTAAAATTGCCAGCATTAGTTCTTCGGTTGATGTTTGAAAATTTTGATTAGTGATGTCAACTGAGCAATTAATGTGGTTATAAATTCGTGGTTATATATATATATTCTAAAAATGCATAAACCGAAAATCATAATACGAATCTGTTTCAGATTGTTCTATACTGAAAATCTTGTAAAATCAGCTGTATTGGTCCAACATTAGTTTTGTCTTTTGGTTATGAGATCTCTCCCATACCCCCTCTTTTTCTTTTTGGTATTTCAGTTCCTTATTATCCGTTTTTCTCCTTTCTTGGTTCATTTCACCAACATATGCGGACTAAGAGTTGATATTTCTTATGCAGATACTTAAAGAGTGGACCTGGATATATCGAAAAGGATGTAGAGAGGAGATTCAGTTATGCACTGAGTAGAGAAGATATCGAGAATGCAATACTTGGAGGACCTTAAGGATAAGAATTATGAATCTGCTTGTCCTTGTTTCAATTCATGGATTTCCTTCCCACCAGGCTCCTTTCGGATTGACTTCTTTAGAAAAAAAGACAAGCATTACTCGGTGTTTATTTTCCTTTCCATTTTGTTAAGTGATAAATGATGAATTTAATTTACTTTGCCAGTATCAATCATATACTAGTAAATTATTTGTCAATTAGGATTGAGGTTGCCCATAATAAACTTTGTGACAATAAATTTTCTGATGTTGTTTGATTTTATTATAATCTCATCAAACATACTCTCTGTTTAGATCTTGAAATTATACCATATACCTACTTATCAAAAAAAATAAAATTATATCATATACCTGGTATTGGTTTGTGATGCAAGCTTGTGAATGGAGCTTGAGATTCGTTACAAAAAGCATTTTTAAGCAAATTGATATATATTTTTTAAGCTAATTGTTTTCAATAATCAGAAAAAATAACTTTTATAAAGGCCAAGAGCCTGTCTTGTATGACTAAACATAAATTACTTTCATTCTTCTAAACAAAAAATCAATAGAATATAATTGAATATTTCAGGCAATGAAGAAATGTGTAAACAATTAAGTAATCTGTCATTACTACTATCAACAAACTGTGGCAAAATGGTAAAGAAGCAATGGAATTTCACAGATTTATTTTTTATTATTTTTTTTTGACACAGATAACTTATGGTTATATTATTGCCTTCAGAATGGGAAGTATCACATTTTACCACAACTTGATACATAGTACAACCACCACAGCAAAATCTTACAAACCCCCAATTTTATTCTTTACTTGTGCCCAAAGATTTAATTATGGTAGTGTATAACATATTCTACTTACAATTATTTTATTTATTTATTCATTATGTTTATTATTATTTTTTTTCTTGCCTCCTACATAAGTAAGAAAGGCTCATATACAGGTTGACCATAGTTTTTGTAAGCCATGCATGCATTCAGGTAAGACATTGAAGTTGAGATTCAAATTGATTCTGCAGAGTGATAATGGGACCAATATTCCTTCACAAGTTGCCCGAACAGAGAATCTTCTCTCTTCATCAACTCTGTTGGTTTATCATACTCCACAATTCTTCCTGCAATAAGGTCCAAACCATCTACTTTAGAATTCCTAAATTCCATTGTAAACAGATAAAAAGGAACACCTATCATTTAGGTAATTAAGGGTATCATTTAGGTAATTAAGGGTAGATAGAATGAAACTCACCATCACTGATGGCAAGAACCATTGTGCAATCCATCACGGTCGGGATTCTATGTGCCACTGTGATCACAGTGCAATCAGCAAATTCCGTCCTGATAGTTTTTTGCAAAATCATATCAGTAGCATTGTCAATTGATGCGGTAGCTTCATCCAGCACCAACACTTTGCTTCTTCTCAACAGAGCACGGCCCAAGCAAAATAATTGCCGCTGCCCCATGCTCCAGTTAGATCCATCATCCGCAACTGAAATGACAACGAGGTTAGTTATCACCGACCATTTCTGTAAAAAGAAAAAAAGAAAAAAATTGTGTTAACTGGCATATAACATTTTGAAAATCTTACCTAAGGCATCTAGGCCCTCCTTTTTCTCCTGAATAGCCTCTTTAAGCTGACACTTCCCAAGAACCTTTCAGAACCAAAAAGTACATTATCATCCTGGTATACAACAATTGTTCTACAGCATGTATATTCATACTATTACTAACAGCAAGCACACACGAAAAAATATTGAACCATTTACCTCCCATATTTCACAGTCGTTATGTTGAGACAAGGGATCCAAATTGTATCTCACAGTTCCATTGAAAAGAATAGGATCTTGTGGTATGATCCCTAAACGTGACCTAAAATCATGAAGACCTATTGTACAGATATCAATTCCATCAACTACAATTTTCCCTCCTGTTGGCTCCATCAGACGAAATAAAGCACCTATGAGAGTAGTCTTCCCACTGCCAGTCCTGCCAACAATACCGATCTTATGCCCTCCTTCAAATGTGCAACTGATCCCACGAAGAACGAGTGGTGCCTCGGGCCTATATCTAATCTGTCTCGACAATCAAAGCTTCTCAGTATGCTAGTCTTCATTATTATAAAAATCAATCCACACAAAATTTACCTGCAAATCTTGAATCTCCACTTTACCCAAGGATGGCCAATTTACTGGGGGACGGTTCTCTTCTATCACTTCAGGAGCTTCACTTGGTATATGCATGTATTGGTTAAGTCTTTCTACAGAAATGATGTAATTTGCCAGAGTGCACTGGTTTTGAATGGAGTTAACGAGGAACATGTTTAATGAAAGACCATAGGACAGGGCCATTCCGATAAATCCTGTAATGACATAAGAGGCAGTTGCTAGAAATTTCATAGAGAAGAATAACTAGCTGATTACGATTCTACCAGTTCACTACCCAACAATATGACCATTAGAATAAAAGGACAGCAACATGGACTTTAGTAAGTACTACTCCAAATGTAACTCTTCACAAAAAATTTAGATAGATACCCACCAGGGCTGAATGTTCCAGGAGGAAGCAAAACCATGCAAAGTGCTGACGAGGAGAGAACGGTGGCACTAAGTGTTCCCAGCCGCTGGATCAGCCACTCATTTGCTGCAAAACTGTGGAAAAATGGACTGGCATTTGTGTCGATGAGGTCAAGATTCTTTGTGAAGAATCGGTCTTCATCCTCAAAAGCTCTTATTGTCACGGCTCCTGCTACAGATTCAGCAAGATGGTTTGCTACAAAAGACTTGGTTGTGCCATTGATCCGCATAAATTCTTTTGCAGAAGCGAAGTAGTATCTCTGTTTAAAAGAGTTGTCAGCTTCTACCAAAAGGAAATACAGAAAGCAGGAAAGCATTCCTCTACACGGGAACTAGGACCAGACACCCTCTAAAACATTAGGGGAAAAGAGGGAATACCCTCCAACCAAAAAAGGAAGCATATAAATAAGATTACTATAAAACAATGGCATAGAAATACTGATACAAAAGATTACACAAATGAGACAACAGAATAACAAAATCCAACTAAAGAGAAAAATATCCCTCCATCCAGAGAGCACAACACACAGACTGCTACTACTCACAGTTGCAATGTAACACAAGTTTATTGCATATAATTTAGTAACAATGAATTATTCTGCAATGGCGGGAGCCTCATGCACTGGGTTTGCACTTTGCCAATGTACTTCTAATCGATATGCAATCCAAATTACTTCAATAATCATAAAATGAGCGTAACTCCTCTATTTATTTTTCCTCCCCACGCGTGCAATGCTTTCTCCTACTCGAATTTTATATTCAATTTTCCGGTGCTGCCCTCTATGTTATAATAGATTCCATTTTGTTTTGAAATTTAGATTGATCAACACATATATCTTACTAATTTCATGTAATGACCCTAAACTGAATACCAATTATATAAAAAAAATTTGGCATGACCTCTGCTAAAAAGGGGCCTACAACAACCTGCTTAAATAAAAAAAAAAAATGCAATGGCCTTTCTTGGCCCTTCAAGACTTATCCAACTTGTCCCAACACACAATACATGAAAAATATAATACATTCTCAAAACAACAACATCAACAACCTCCTCAAGATAACCCATCATCATCATCATCCCATTCAACGCAAAATATTTACATAGTCTCGTTTCCCTTCAAAATACTAACAAGAGTTATAGTTTACAATACATGACCATGGCTTGCAAAATGTATACACTTCACTATGGTTTTGAGACTTTACAAAAGTGAAGCAAATATAGAAAAGATAGCAAAAAAAAAAATATTCCTAGTCCTCCTTAAGTTTGTGAGGGGTCGGCGTCCACTACCTCATTTCCTGGCCCTAAAAAATGTTAAATGAAAGGGTGAGCGTAAAGCTCAGTAGGTGGCGTCTAAGACACACCTTTTGTAGCCCCGTGAATCCAAATAATGAATAGGACAATAGGAATTAGGGTCATGCAAAGACGGGAAAAATACAATATCAATTCCAAAATTCAAAACGAGCAAGTGTCGTGCCATGAATGTAATGTCATGCATGTCACTCCCCATTTTCAGAAACCATCCATCACTTTCCAAACTGTTAATATAACCCATCCTTTGGTGACTCCGCAGTGACACGAGAGAAGGATTGGCTACTGTCCCTGACCTTTGGTACCCCCGCAGCGTTATTTGGGGCTCAGATAGCTCAACCACGCTAGGACAATCTCCCTAATTCCCTCTAGGTTACATTAACACACCGGCCCTTTGGTGACTCCGCGCTACCGGGTTTTTACAAAATCACTTTAATCAAAACATTTCCCCAAAATCCCTTTTTCATTTGTTTCAAATCATTTCACACAATTCACCCTTTTCTTTTATGCCCAATGCTATGAATGCATGCCACATATTTTCCCAACAGTATGAAAATAGAGGAAATTTACACATCACAATTTAACATGTTTCTTCATAGCAATTTCTAGGAAAGTGACGAACACTATGGCATGTAAATTAACATTTAGGCATACTTCTCATAATATCATTAACACGTATAGGCATAGATTTTCTAATACAACAATCATGTCATTTTCAAGACAATCAATTTAAATAAAGCATGATTTTCATACAAATTTAATTATTTCACATAATCATATATTTCATCTACACAAATCAAGTTACTTTAAAATACAAGCAACACAATTTAGCATGTTAGGACATAAATCAAGTAAAATTAACTCACTAAGGTGCAAGATTGTATGGATTAGAGACCCCTACCTCAATCTAGGCAAAAACCCCCAATTTTTTCTCAAACTCTAGAATTTTGTGATCCTTCAAATGATGGCCAAATGGAGATTGGCTCCGATCAACTTGTAGATCTCATCGTGGGCTTCGATTTGCCGCAAACGGCACTTAAAAATACTAAGTATTGAAGGAGAGATCTAGATTCAAAGATTGGAGCAAAAGAAAAAGAAAAAAAAAAAAAAAAGAAAGTGAGAAGGTGAGAGAGAGAACCAGCGGGTGAGAGGAAGAAAAAGAGAAAATGAGGCCAAAAATTGGCCTTTGATCCATTTTCTAAAACCCTTGTGGGTCCGACCACTTTTTCTTTTTATTTTCCTTTTCTTTTGTTTTTAATTTACACCACACATGCATATATACACATATTAAATCACAACTATTTATCACACATTAAATAAAATAAACATGATGCAAATGAACCCAAACAAAAACCCTGTGTGCAACAATTCCGGTAGCGGGTCCCACACGGGACCGTCCGGCCAAAAAAAGGAAAAAAAATGCGAAAATGGTCACCCTTATATTTCAAAAGTCCTGGACTCAATGAAATACTCCAAACAACTCTCGGACACAACCAACACACTCCGCAGTGCCCGGTATGCAAAACAGTAAAAAATTATGCAAAACAGTAAAAAATGAAAATGCCCTTACAACGATAAAAATTCCGAAAAAAAATGAAAAATGCCGAAAATTGGAAACATCACATTTCACTTCATATTTTTTACTAAACAATGTAAACCAGTTGCTCCTTACTGATTATTTGGATGTGGGTGACTTATACACAGCTTTCATCATAGAACTTCTCGTAGTATCATTACCTGTAATCGAATTGCAAGGTAGACCATTGGTATAGAGACAAACAACACTGGCCAGGTAACAACGGCTACTACTCCAAGATTAGCATAAGTATTGAAGGTAGTCCCAGTTGTGTAGATGAAACTAAATGAAAGATCAAGATCAACAATACTCAAATCAGACGAGACCTGTATAAGCACAAAAAAGTAGGAAACGTTAGTTTTATGAAATCTATAGTGTCAAGATCACAATCAAATGTTGTTTGAATACCTACCCGACTCAGTATCCTACCCAAAGGTGTTGAGTCATAGAAAGACATGGGTGCACGAAAAAGGGAGTTTAATAGCTGTGAAAATAAAGATTTGGACGATTGCATACCCAACGTAACTCCAAAGAGAGATCTGAAGAGCAAAAAGAATGTCGAGCAAAATCCAATCAACAAGTAAACCACAATCAATCTCAACGTGCTAACATCAGGATTTTCAACATTAGCAGCCATCCAAGAGTTTTGTAATATCTGACAAATTACAAAGGTAAGGTGACAGAGAGCAGCCAAGCTGAAGTACAAGTAGCCTTTGTTCTGATTCAGATACTGTATGAATGGCTTAAAACCCGTGTCTCCTATTTCTCTCTCTTCTTGCTTAATCAACTGATCACCTCCAGATGCTTTAGATTTTTTCTCGATATGAGTATTACTGATCTCTCTGGTAGAAGGTTCACGTCTACGTGGAGAAGTAACCTCTGCAAGCCTTTCAGAACCAGCAGTCTCTTTATGTGCATTGACAAGCTCCTGAAATTCTTGGCTTGAGGCCAGTAATTGATGGTGTGGAGCTGTACCTTTGATTTCCCCGTCTGACATCATCTGCCAAGAACATTAATTTTATTACAATTGATTGCTTGTAATTATAGTTTCTATCACAAAACTAGTTACAATCAATGAAACTGTATTATAACTATATCATGGCCACAGCCTTCTGATTGGATAATCCAAAAGGATACACTGGTGCCAATTAATTGAGATTAACCAACCACACCAACTACCGATGGTATAAAAGCCACCTTGTTCTACTCCATACCATGTGGAACAAGAAATACATATAAATCAGATTATAAATAAAGCAGGCACCAAAGAACAAGGTGCAGCCAGTGAAAAACAAATCCGTACAATTCAGATGTTTTAACTTGGTCTGAAGTGCTCAAGGAATGCAACACCGTTATTTGGAAACTTGAGGTCAAACGTAAGCCTAAACAGAAATTAAACTCACCAAAACAGAATCAAATGCAGGAAGGAAATCAACTTGGTGAGTCACGAGCAAGACTGTCTTCCCTGAAAGCGCCCCCATAACATATTCCTGCCAGAATTTAAGCATGCTTGAACTATGAGCAAGTGATTAAAATTAAGAAATTGATTGACTATACTAAAGAGTACATACATTAAATAGGCTAGTGGCAGTATGTGCATCAACGGCACTAAATGGATCATCCAACAGATATATATCAGCATCTTGGTACAATGCACGAGCCAGTTGAATTCGTTGCTTCTGACCACCACTGAGATTAACTCCTCTTTCCCCAATTTCAGTGAGATCACCATGGGGTAGCAACTCAAGGTCCTTGACCAATGAACACTTCTCTATTGTTTCTTGGTATCTTAGATCATTCATGACAGAACCAAATAGAATGTTATCTCGTATAGTTCCTGTTGGGATCCATGCTGACTGAGAAACATAGGTAATCCTCCCATAAACTTGAATCTGTAAAATGAAACAAAGAGAATAAGATTACTTATCAGTGAAATGGTAGGTCTCAGGAAAGAGGAAGCCAGATCACACTCATTCATAAATGTTTCTAATATTAAAGAAAGAAGTGTCTGATAGGAATTGGAAGTGCAGTGTTAAATGTGAAAGAAACAGTTTTTCAAGCTGAAGAAGTATGCAACAACTATAAAACAATATAAATAATTAATCGGTAAGAACTTACTGTTCCCTGAATATTTGGAATCTCTCCAAGAATTGCGGCTAAAAGGGTAGATTTCCCTGAACCAACCTCTCCACATATAGCCACCTTCTCACCAGGTCTAACCTCTAAATCAATGTTTCGAAGTGTGGGCCTCAGTGAATTCTCTTCCCATGAAATATTGGCTGATTTTATGAAAATAATGCTGTTCCTATTTTCTATGTTGCATTTTTGCCGGACATTTGCAACCTCAAGTTCAGGTGCCTCAAGAAACTTGACAATTCTTGCAAATGCAACTTTTGCTTGAATGACCACACCTATAACATCGGAAATACACGTAATGGGATCCTGAACCAGACGCATTGTTGCTATGAAAGTGAAAACATTGCTAGCATATAAAGGAACACCAAGGAAATAGCAAGCTCCAAAAGTGGCCGCAGAGACCAACACAGGGGATGCCCAAAATAGAAAACCAAAGTACGCTTTACACCATTGAACAGCTGCTAACCACTTGCATTCTACTTCCCTCAAACTTTCTATGACATCCTTGATATGGGTTTCCCATGCATATAGTTTCAACACCTTCATGTTCACAAGAGCCTCTGAACTGGCCTTCAGCCTCTCGTCTTGTGCCACCATGAGCTTAGACTGGAATCTATGCTGTAATTTAGCAAGAGGAGCATTGCAAAGCACAGAGAGAACTATCACCACCACGGATGCAATTGTTGCAAGACCTACTGTGCGGAAGAGAATTGCTAGTGCGAGGCAGAGCTGGAAGCTTGTTGTCCAGGTTTGATGAAACCAGAAAGGGAACTCTCCAATCCGATAAGCATCCACAGTAACATAGTTCATTATCTCACCAGCCGAGTGTGTCATCTTGGCAGCATTAGATAATCTCAGTTGCTTCTTATAAATGGCTGCTGTGAGCAAAGACCTCACTTTTAGACCGATTAGTCTGCTTCGGAAGTACCACTGCCTTTGTGATACAGATTCTAGGTTCTTTGAAAAGAAAAGGGATATAGCCAATACATAACCCTCATATTTAAAACTTTCTTTACCTTCAGCAACCTCAATGAAGGCGATAAGAAGCAGGGGACCAGCAGACAAAGTGATGATCGTTAGCAGCGCAAAGAATCCAGACATGAAAATCTCTTTCCAGTGACAGAATATTATTGTCCTCAAAATGGATGGTTGGGATGATGGATCCATTTGTTTCTGTTTGTTCAATTGTTCCACGAACTGCAAATAACAAGATTCAGCTCGGTCTGCCTCACGCAACATGGGCATATCTTCATCCTCAAGAGTTTTCTCCCTGCCCCTTTTCATCAATGGATTCAACCACGAAAATGACATTTTACTGAAAAACCCAGCTTTGGCAAATGAAGTAACAGAGGCAACAAAATCAGATTTACCATTCACTTCACCATTCAAGGGGGCATAAAGATCACTTCCATTATAAGTTTCACCACTTTCTTCATAATTGAAGCCCTTATAGGTGCATAACAGCAATAAACTTGCCCCTACAAAAGACAGTACATCTAATGCTATCTTAATTGACACTATTTTGGTAACAATGACAGCGAAAAGAGATAAACCACAAGCAATTGCAGCAAACAAGAATGCAAGGATTGACAAAAGCCGCACTGGGGCTTCAGAAAAATGGTTTCCCCGGAGGCTCACAGTCAAACCCACTAACAACCATGTTAGTCCATGAAACAGAACTACCAACCACCAATGCAGAGGTAATAAAGTCTGGGTTTTCCTCAACTTCTCTTCTATCATCCAAATGCCCAAGCACGAGCATACCAATCCCAAGAAACCATTAAAAGTGGCAGATACCATCTGCAACCCTGACATGCCCCGAAAACGAGTGGGCATGGAAGCAGATTTTGATGGTGTCTTCTGAATCATATTGAATAAGAACACCACTAAGATCAACACATCAAAACTAACTATCAATGCATGGTTTATACATGAAGATGGGTCAACCACGAGCGCAAAATCAGTGCTGCACGGCTTTCCATTACTCTCTGAACAATCGGATTCACCACAAAACATAGTCAATATGCCCTCCATCTCTCTTTAACCCTCTTTGCTGTGCAAAGTTTGTATAGATCACAAGAACAAAATTTTAAGGTAGGAAATTATTATTTTATCTAACCAAGTAAAATGTACTACTAACAAATGCAACCTAGAGAAGATGTACTCAAAACTTTCTTTTGTACTATGAGAAACAAAAAATAGCAGAGACTATCACAGTTACATACTATTAAACACATGCAATAGCACATCAATTGCAAGAGATGATTACTCTCTCACTATTAGTGAAATCAATGTCTGTCCTTTTAGAAGATTAAAAAAGCAGTTCAAGTATCTTAGATGATGTGAGAAGTCATTTATATTATAAAATAATAAGAATAATAAAATAAAATTAATTTGACAATTAATGATGGTAACAACAACATACCTTAGTTGGACAAGAATGGGTACTCCTTTTGCTTTTCCTCTCAACCGACTTGTTTTTACATAGCTTTTGGGTGAATATGTTTCCTTCAAGAGAGTGCAATTAACCATCAGTATAAGTTCAAATGCGCATAAATTCCAATGAAAACAATCTCCAAAAACAAATGCTTTAATCTGCAGATTTTCTCATCTTCGATGAGAAAGACATGTTCAAAAGAGCAGTATACATAATTAGAATAATACATGTTTATTCCCACTGTCCCAGTAGAATTTTCTGTTATTTGTATTTTCTATACATAAATTTTGATAATTATAAAAGTGCCTCTATTTAACTCCTAAAAAATTCACCAAAGACTTTTAAAAGAATTATAAATTCAAAACGACTCCTCATTTTCTAACTCATTTGACCAAGATTTTCAAATTTGAAAAACGACCCATGTCTTTTCCTCCTCCACTGGTTTCACAAAAAAATTTAAGAACAAAAGACCATCCTTTGATATTTATTATTTTATTTTAAAAATTTTTTTTATCATATTATTGTTAATGGTTTTCATCTCTCAAGTAGATTCTTAGGTCTCCCATTGTGTATATTATATTATATATTTGCATATGTATATCGATAGAAAGAAGAAACCAATGCAATTATAAAAAAAAAAATTCTTAGTGCAATATCCAAAATGCATATGAAAAATAGAATGAAAAAAATGAACTTGTCAATTGGTTTTATCCGAGATTGTAGCATTACTCAAAACATAAATAAAACAAAGTAATAGGGTAGTCTGGCCTAAAAAAGGTAGCAATAATAGTCGGGAGTTTCCGTTGTTGGGTACTGCTGAATACTTACCAATATAAAGTCCATAACATTCCCAATCAGAATTTGATGTGGGATAAGAACCTCTAACATTCTCCCCGCCGACTCTCAGTGGTTCGACCATCCTGCCTACCGAGGAGCAGCATGGATCTGACACCACTGTAACGGGTCACAGGTTAGCTAATACTAGTAAATAGCGCTACATACCTGTCCATATAAACCCATAATCTTCCTCATCTAGATTGGAAGTGGGACAAGAACCTCTAACACTAGCCTACTTAAAAATACCAAAAACATCATAGGCCACTGGACTAGACTCTTTAATCAGAAAATCATTTTCCAAGTAACAGAGACTATCTAAAAACAATAAAAAGTAATGTCAACAGGAACTGCGAAAACAATGGAAGGCATTTGAAACAAATTGAAATTAAGATGATTGAGAAATGAATACTAACCAGACAATAATGCCACGCAACCCGGAAGTTTCGCCAACCTCGCAAAACGTTTTGAAACGGCTTTCTTGAAGAAATGTTTGAAAAAACAAGAATCGATGTTGTTTCTGAATGTTCGCAGAGGCTTTGGGGGTGTGTGGGTGAAAAGCGAAAACATGAAAAAAGAAGGTAATGTTTCAAAACCAGTCCGACGTACTACTATTCATCGTGTCGCCTGGGAACTAGGACCAAGTGAAAACAACTTTAGCAGTGGTCTTGCTCGGACTTGTAACATCTCCATAATGTTTTATATACAAGTAGGTCTATTTTATATACGAGTAGGTATAGTGATATACATGAATCCAACAAATTGTAAAATGAAATGTGATAAGAAATGAAACAGTATAAAGTGTTACCGTCATCTTCATTGACTGTTTTGTCATGTCATGAAATAGCATTAAAAAAAAATTCAATGGTCATTTTTGTGATGCATTGAGATGATTTGGGCTGCTTGCAAACGGCCAAGTGCAAAAAAAAACATTCCTAAAATTGTTTACAGCGCATATCACAATCATTAAAAGTAAAAAATATACTTAAAGTTTTAATTTGATGCAATGAATACTTGTGACAAATTTAAACCCTAAATTGATCAAATTACTCTTATTAAACTATTTTATGATGACCAAAAAAAAAAAAAATTTATAAAATAAAAAAAAATAAATAATTTTATAAAATAACCGAAAATGACACAATTGGAGGACGCCACTCACGTAAAAAAAAACAACCTAAAGTTTCAATTTTGTGCAAATAGGTCCCTCTGACAAATTTAAACCCTAAATTATCTAAATTACTCTTACTGAACTATTTTATAAAATATATAAAAATAAATAATTTTTTAAAATGAGCTAAAATGACATATTGAGGAAGCCGACATTGGATAAGTAAAGATAAAAATAAAAATAAAAATAAAAATAAAAGTATAAAAGAAAAGTAAAGATAAAAATAAAATACAAATTAAAGAAAACAAATCTACTCCAAATTTCGAAAATTAGTGCACACTGATATTCAGATTTTTTTTCCTTTTTTTTTTTTGTTCCAAAGTGTTGGTACGAAAAAAATAAATAAAGAAAAAAAAAATAGTAGAAAAACAGTAAACTCAAATCTCAAAATATTCAAATCATTGTTCTACGAATTCTCAAAATAAAAAAAATAAAAAAAATGTTTAGAGATATATATAAAGTGAAATTTTTTTATAAAAAAAACAAAAATACTTAATGTGCACATAATACTATGAGATTAATAGTATAAATATCCCTTTGGGTATTTTCGAAAGAGTAAAAAGGCAAATCGGATATTACATTATTAATTTATATCACATTTTTGATTGAAAAGTATTTTTGTACAATATAAAAATGTTGAGGATATTTTTTACACACTTTTTGGAATATGGGTAAAAATGTTATGCCGAAACTGTGGCGATAGATTATGAAATATTTTATGAGATTTCACACAGTCATTTTCTCAAAAAAATATATATATATAATAATGATAATAATAATAGATAATGTCTCCAAATATCAATGTCGAATTTCGGTTGGCTCCAGGTTGTCTCTTGTCTTCGTCTTGACTCCTGTTCGGGACAATTGCTTATTATTTATTGCACTTACACTATGTGTTGATTTTCTTTAATACCAACAAAAACAGGACAAGGAGAAACCGATAGGAGGCAACACGGAAAACGAGGATTATATATTCATATGTATGTAGACAAATTTGGAATTTTAAGTCATATATATATATATATATATATATATATATATTGTCATGGCTCACTTTTCTCTTTGAAAGGACAATTGTTTGTAAGCCCATAATTACACCATTCATAATTCATTCACGTGAGAGACGTATTCATCTTTGGCTCTCACTCCGTCTTCTTCCAACTTGGTGCACCCTCTCACATCAAGTGTTGGCTTGAAGACCACGTTCCATACATTTAATATCTCCTTCAGATTTGATTTCAAGATGCTTCTACCAAAAAATCCCTAACCCAATCTTGTCGAAAGACAACTGGATTCATTCCGTAATAATAATAAAAAATTATGATTACATGTGTAAGAATTGGCTAAAAGAACTGTGATAGCTTTATAATCTATGTAAAAATTAAGTAAATTGATATTTTCTTCTTTCTTCTTTCTTTATGACATAAAAATTAAGAAGAAAACAAAGGATATAAAGTTTAAATTGGTCATTTCATATGTTTAAAACATACAAAATTAATAGATAAATTACAAATACCCTCTTGAAGTTTTATCTAATTACATTTGCAAATTGTTCAATTTCTAGCTGGTGTTTAGTTGGTATTAGGGGTGGCAAATTGACAAGTTGGGTCGAGTTTGGGTTGAATTAAAAATGGACGAATCAATATGAGTCAGGACCCATATTCAACCCATTCAAAACGGGTTAAAAATGAGTAGAGTCAATCCGTTATGATTCGTGAATCCATTAATTATTATTTTTAATTTTTAAATTTTTAAATTTTTAAATTTTTTTAATTATTTTAATTATTATTTTAATTTTTAAATTTTTAAATTTTTTTATTAAGTATTAACATGATTTAACATATATTATATGTTTGATTATTCATCATTTGTGTCTTAAGAGGACGCATATTCCTTGCCCATTATGAGACAATCACTTATTCACAAACCTCGTGTGGGACTAATAGTTTTTATTTCTCGTTTCATGGAAAACCCTTTTCGCTCCGCTTAGCCTTATCCCCCTCTAGGGGGTTCCGCTACAAACCATTTGAGCGAAAATCGATTATTGTTCTTATACAACTCGAACTATCTATGGGGTATTGGGCATCAAAATTTGGATATTACAGACGAGGAATAATAAAACGTTCCGTGTCTTCCCTTTCCCTTCTATCCGCTAATAGAACAAAAAATGATAAACTCGTCCATTCTTTTTCTGTTCAATCAGAACAAAAATAAAAATGAGTAATTCAAATTCTTAATTCTACGAGGTTGAATAAAAAAAATTCAATTGACCATTTGATATAATTGTTATGCTTAGTGTGTGACTCATTAAAACGTAACTTAATAATTTCAAAAATAAAATAAAACTTAATGTGCATTTATATTGAGAGGTACAACACATTACATTAGTAATTATAAAATAATTTAAAAGTATTTCTTTTAAATTATAAAATAAGCTAGACGACAAAATCAGTCAACTGTTCCAGAAATATACTGCAGAGCTCATATATGAACCAGATACAAAATTACAAATCAGTCCAACCATTTCAGATATATATTAAAATCAAATCAGTAAAAAATTAAAAGAGTAATCCTATTAAGTGCGTTCTCTTTGTATTTTTTTTTTTTCCACGTTCTCTTTGTATTGATTAGCTACCCTTTTATAACAGTTAGGAGGAAAGTGAACGTTAAAAGAAATAAATAAAATAACGTTTTCTTACTCTTGAAAAAAAAAATTCATAATATTGTGCAATTTGCAAATTTTTATTTTTTTTAATACATTGAGTTGGTGCAGATTGGAGCAGTTTTCACAGCAACTAAAAAAGAAAGATAATATCACAAAAATAAGAGGATTAAATATAGGGATAAACATAAAAATATAAAAGGTTATTGAAAGAAAGATATTAAGAAGAAAACAATAAAACAACGTGGATTTTTTTTTTTTTTTTTTTTTTCCCACACATCAAGAAGAAAAAAAGAACGGTAATTAGTTAGAATGTTTAGTTTTGAAATTTAGTTACTTAGGAAATTAACTTCTTTTAACTTTACAAAAAAAAAAAAAAAAAACTACTAACCTTATGAAATGTGTAAAATTGTAATATCATATTCAATTATTTATGTTTTTGGTGACACCGAAAGAAAGGTTGATGTAATGAATAACGTGAGAGGATAGAGGAGTAGGAGGAAGGTGAGAATGGGGTAACCTAACGCTATAATAGTAATTTTTTAATATTTTTTTAAAATTATTTATTTATTTTTTAAAATTATTTTTATTTTTTAATTATTTATTATTATTTTTAAAAAAAAATTAACTATTTTTTATTTTTAAATTATTTTTTTCTAAAGGTTTTAAAATTTTTTATTTTAATTTTTTAAAATTTTGGATAAATTACACTCACACCCTTGAGGTTAGGTTATATTTCAGCTAGATGAAGATTTTAGTTTTAACTTTCACTCATACCCTAATTTACTTTTTACTTGTGAATTGACCCTTTTACCCTTAACTTTTTAATACAAAATATATATAATTTTAAATGACAAAAAGGCCCCTCTGTGTGTGTGTGTATATATACTATTTGTACACGTATCACTTATGGTCCCTATCAATCCTAACCGTCCAAACTCACACATCAGTACCTTCTGTCTCCTCTCCCTGCAAACCAATCCTCTTCAGATTCTTTGTCAATCATTTCACCGCCGATTGGGATTTTGGAAAAATTCAATCAACTAATTATACTAAACATATAATTAAATCTATTTTTGTGAGATTCAAAGGACAGTATTGTTGATGTCCAGTCATTTTGATGGTGATAGCCTTTGATTTCATTTCATCCTCATCTCTAAATTATCATGTTATGTCCTCACTTTCACACCGACCACATCCTCACCTCACTATCTGAACGGCGACAGGGAAGCGGCAGTGGCATAGACCTCTGAAGAAACCACCGGCAATGATGATGAACTTGGAAGACGTCGGTGAGTTTGGGTGAATTTTTGAAGTTTGGGTGAATTTTCGGTAATAATGAACTTATCGCCTATGGACAAAGAGCTGACGGGCTACTGCCCGGTAAGTCGCCCTCTTGAGCTGTCGGAGGACTTAGCGAAGTTAATGATTCTGCGGAGAGAAATCAAGTAATCATAGGCATAGTTGTTGATTTTTTCTGATCGATTGAACTACTTCTTGCTTTGAGATTAGAGGAGGTAAGTTGGAGAGAGGAGTGGTCAGATTCCGGCGGCTGATCGTATCAAAGGTGGATGAGACGGCGGAGGGTGAGGTTGGGGACAAAGTCGGTGGTATCGAGGATCTGCATGGTGGCGGGACAGGTGTTGTGGCCGAAGTTTGGTTGATGGGTTGGGTTCATACTTCATAGGTGACGCCGGTGAAGATGAAGAAGTTTGGTTGATGAGTTTTGTCAATAGGTTAGCTTCTTTGGATCTGTAGTTTGGTTGATGGGTTGGGTTCTTTGGATCTGTTGATGGACAGGTGTTGTGGCCGGAGTTTGGTTGATGAGAGCTTGCCACTGGAATTTGGTTGATAGGTTAGGTCTGTAGACGTTGCCGGTAAGGATGAAGAAGTTTGGTTGATGGGTTGGGTCTGTAAGTGATGAGTTTAGTTGATGGGTTGGGTCCGCAGGTGACGCCGCTGAAGTTGAATTGGTTGAATGGTCGTAGATGACTGATTGTTGTTGTTGTTGATGTGGCCTTCTTGGGTTTATGTTTGTTGCGATCATGACGTTGATGGTGACAAAGGGTGATCGGTATCACCGGGATGGGTTTGTGGAGAGAGAGATTGTAGGAGAGAGAAGATGGCTTGTGTGTGTAAGTATTTCGCTGGAGTATTTCGCTGAAGAGAGAAGATGACTTATGTGGGAAGTATTTGGCTGACATGGATATTCCTTTCCCTCTTGGGTATATTGGGGCTAGTTTGGTCATAAAAATAGTCAATATGTGGTCAAAGGGTAGCATAGTGATTTAACACCTTAAAAGTATTATGAACTCACCAAAAATTGACATTTGGGGTGTAAGTGAAATACTAAACCACTAATTCAAATATAAGTGAAATTTGAAACCAAAATCTTCATATAGCTAAAATATGACATAACCTCAGGGGGTGTGAGTTTAATTTACCCTAAAAATTTTAAAATTATTTTTTAATTATTATTATTTTTTTAGAAGAAGTTTGTAGAGAGAGAGGAGTGATAAGAGACAATTTAGAGAGAGAGGATTGTGAGTGAGAGAAGTGCAATATAAAATAAATTTATAGATGTGTGTTGTGTGTTTATTATGTGATGGGTGAAATATGGGTTGAATTTGATTAACCATATTCAACTCATCTTGATTCTCAAATTAAGTGGTAAAAAATTACCCAACCCATCTTGACCCTCAATGTAACGACCCGAACCCGAGGGTCCGAATCGCTAACCGAGTCCTTACCCGAACCCGAGGTTAACAAAGGACACTACCGTCCTTTCCTATGTCAATACATAATATACGTGTCATCCCAAGTTTTATAATAATAATAAAAAATAAATAAATAAATAAATAATAGTGATAAAATGAGATCATAGCTACAAAGTATGTCAAAACGGTCTACTAACCCATCGAATCCTGTGGAGGAGCGTCGTCCTCCACTTCCCATCCGTGTTCTGAAAAATATTAAAATAATGGAGTGAGCATAAGCTCAGTAGGAGGTGTCTAAGACACACCTCTTATGACCCCATAAATCCACATATAGAATAGAAATCAAGAGAATGGGATCATACTATACCCGGGATATAATTCATAACCACAACGTCAAATATAACCACAATTATACCATATATGCCAATGAAGTGCAATGCCATGCTCATGTCGCTTCCCATTTCCGAAACATTTCCGCTTCAACTTCCAAACCGTTAGTGCAATCCGACCCAAGGCACTTCCAAGGCGTTACGAAAGGAGGATTGACTAACTATCCACGACCAAAAGGCATTTCCAAGGCGTCGCATCCGGCCTAGTTAGCTCAACCATACTCCCCTCTAGATTACACTAACACCACGAACCACTAGGCGCCTCCTAGGCATCCGGGTTTTCACAAACACATTTCAAAAACCTTTCCCCAAAAAATTTCATTTGTTTTCTAAAAACACTTTTCCCTTTTCTTTCCCAATGGATGCATGAATGCTTCATAATTCCAAATGCTAAGTTCAACACCCAAATTTTCATGCATTTCACCCATATATCATAACCACATCTTGTAAAGAAAATCTCTAAACATTTATTTCTACAATTATAACATCAAGGTTTCATGGCAATTGGAATTCACAAAATATACAACTTGTCGTTTCTAAGCATGCTTCCTCACTACAAAAAGGTAATTAAGCTTACAAACTCATTTAACACATAACACATATCCACCACTTTGTATATAAGCAACCATAACCACATAGTCAAAATAATTGGAATTAAACGTGCATATAGTCAAATTAAGAAGGAGAAATTCACATAGAACCCAAGAAATTATGAATTAGAGCACCCCTACCTCAATGGATGTAAAAAGTCTCAATTGTGCCCAAATTTTTGAAATCCAGAGGGTGACCAAATTGAACTTTGCTCCGATCAAAATGACAACCTCAACGAGCTCAACAACTTTGCTTAAGGGAGTACTATCAAATTTCCAAAGACAAAAGGGGATTAAGTCTTGAAAATCATGGCAAAAGAAAAAGAAAAATGCAAGAAATGAGGGGAAGAGAGATTCTGCCGAGAGAGTGAGATTTTGAGGCCTAAATGGCCTTATGGCCATTAATAAGTAAGTGGAAGGTGGGTCCCTCCACTAAGATATTTTTCCTTTTCAATTTCCTACCACAATTATATGTATATGCATTTTAAAATCCCAACCACACAACTTAGCTTAGAATAATGAAATTATACACAATAAAATTACGCATAAAACTCGTGACATGACTCCCGTGCACACCAATTCCGGTAACGGGTCCTACTCGGATCGTCCGGTCCGAAAAACAGAAAAATGCCGAAAGGGCAACTGATGCATTTCCAAGAGTCCTGAACTCAAGGAAATGTTCCAACCAACTCTCGAACACACCCGGTACACCCCATGGTGTTCGGCATGCAAAACCAGAAAAAGACAAAAATGCCCTCATAAAAATTAGAAAATTTCTAGAAAAGGAAAATGGCAAAAATTTGAAAGCATTACAATCTACCCTCTTTAAAAGATTTCATCCTCGAAATCTACTTTCCTTAAAAAAAGAAGCCCATAGTCACACACCTTCTGAGAACACCTCACCGAACCCCGAGACTAAGAACTCAACAACCTTGTTGCCTTTGACACCCGATGTCAATAGGCAATCACACACTGTCGTCAGAAAACCCAATGCTCACCACCCTATGAGGGTATTCATCACTCACAACATCATAACACCATACTATCTGGTATGCTCTACGCTATACCTGTAATACCCCTAATTTAACAAGGATATTTCTGGAATTTATTTAATTATTTAAATTGTGTTTTTATTTATTTAGTTGTGAATTTGTTGATTACGTGTGACTTTATTTGTTTTTATTTATTTCGTGGTGGTTTGTGAATTAATTAATTAGTTTTTATTTATTTAGTGGTGGTTTGTGAATTAATTAATTAGTTATTAAATTGTATTTTATTTTTTTTCTATTTTTCGTTAATTGAACTTAGGGTTTTGTTTTATTTTTCTTTAGCCGACTTAGTTGCCTGTCTACTATTAGGACTAGAATTAGGGTAACCTTAATCCTATAAATATATACATTAAGGTTTACCTAGGGTTTTAGAACTTAAACACGTCGGTGGAGGCAGAGAGAGAGAACAGAGGAAGGCTTACAGTAGTCGGAGTTCGCCGGAGAATTTAGGAAGCAACGGTGCAAGGTTTCAAACTGAGACCTAAAGGCAAGTTCTAATCTTCACTCCTTCCCGTTGCCTCGTGTTCTTTGCATGTCTAACACAACTCCAGGGAACTATTAAGGATTAAAATTAAACTGGATTTCTTGTACCTCTGTTGTTTTAAAACTGTTTGTAGTTGAAACGTGTGTATTGTTTGTTTTAATTTCTTCCTTGTGTAACCTCTGTTTAATTCGTGTAAACTGATGAGTAATGATTTTAATTAGTTCTATAACATGTTGGGAAGCACTAGAATTAATTTAGGTTGCAAGTTTGATTTGCTACAACAGTCGATGCTCCGGAATGCTTAAACTGCTCGTATTAAACTTTTGATGCAAAATTCATGTTTTAATTAATTTTAGTAACTGAACAATGAATTTAGTGGTTTCTGGTATAAGTTGGAATCTAATTTAAACACTTAGGAACCCTAGGTATGAAGGTCAGTTCATCAGAAACTCACCGGAATTCAAAACGATGAAGAACAGAGAGAGAGACGGCTTACTGTTTTAAAGAGCAGGCTCTTCCGGACGAAGAGCAGGCTCTACTTTTAAGTAGAGCCGGCTCTAGGGGTCTTGGAGCAGGCTCTACTTTTAAGTAGAGCTGGCTCCAAGATGGAAAGAGCAGGCTCTTCTTTTGGTGGAGCAGGCTCTTCCCTCGGGTGTGCGTTTTTTAATCTTTCTGCGACTGTGTGGGCTACAGAACTTGGATTTTGGGATTTTCAGTTTCTGTTGGAAGCTATACTGAGGTGTTTAGAGGTGGTCTAAGCTTGATTAAAATCCTTAAGAGAAGATTTATGCAAAATAAAACAACTTTGTTTTAATGCGACAGTGGACAATGCTTAATTAATCAGTTTACTGGGTTTTTGTTATGAAAGGATGCAGAATTGCTTAACACTTAGAATAGTAATTCTTAGCAATAAAATTCTCAATTAAACCTATCTCAATGTTATAAAATAAGCTTGTGGATTTAAATGGTTTAGTATGCTTATTTGGGCCTAAGTTGGTTTACAGTTTGGATGGGAGGAACTGCAAGATGTTTAAGCTTTGGTATTAAAATTCTTAGTGATGATTTGCAGTTGGTCATGTTCCAGAATTACTAAAAATAAACCTGTGAACATTTATATTCTATTATGGTTGATTAGAATTAATTGGTTTACATGTATAAACTGTAATATCAATTAGTGGACCTTATAGAGTAGTATAGATTAAGTTTGTTAATTGACAATTATTTTATCATGCTTAATATGGAACAATTGATATTTGTACTTAGTGTTTTATTGTCAATTGTGGAATGTATGGATTGGTTGATAGTTATATTTTTATTTATTCTATTAACTGCCGGATGGATTGGATTGTATGCATCGGTATGGGACGGTGACATACTAGGTTTGGATTTGGCTCAAAATTGCTATATCCTACCTATACGAAATAAGGGAATGGATTAAAAATAAATCCTACTTATATTTAGGCTAAGTCAAAGAAGCTGCACAAGCTAAATGACTAGCTGGAGTACTGGTTATCTATGTTAAGTCTGTGCAGTTGAATAAGCTGAACGACTTACTAGATTTATTATGGATTGTTATGAACGGATTTTAAATATATGTTTATGGTACCACGAGAGGAGCTTGAGTCTCAGACTCGTTGGTTAGGGTGCGTATATGCAGTGGATGCGTAGCTGGCTATAGTAGATTGAGGTGTACCCTGTTAGGTCTAAGTACTCATGCCCACCTTTAGGTGCGTTTTCGCATGTTGCCTTCTATTCAGGTTGAGACCCCTACTGTAGTCCAGTGAATGTCCCTTAGTATGGATATATATATATATATACACACGAGTTATATAGTTATTGTTGAGTTGGTTAGAGTGTATATGCGTATCGAGTCTCTGCTTGGATTGTAGTAGGTTAGAACTTGTTCGTGGGCCTGACCCATTCCTATTTTTTTCCAGGTGTACGTCAGTTCCAGGCTTGAGCTTGTTCGTGCTGGGCAGAGAAGATCTTCCATTCTACTGACGATGTAGGACTTCTTTCCAGATATTTGATTTGGATTTTATCTTCAGTTTACTTTCATTCAGTTTGGTTTTTAGGGGTCCACTGGAGATGGATTCCCGAGTTGTTAACTTATGGAGGTTTTGGATTATTGGGATTTAAGTATATTTAATATTAAAGGTTTTTATATTTAGTTTTCTTCCAGCTTAAACTTTATTTATCAAATTCATTTTGTCATCTGTGTTCGTATTACATATTAATTGTTGGATATTTCCCTCGGGTTTGAGCTTGGGCCTGATCAACCAGTGTCTCGGATCCGAGGGGTATCACAATACCCGACTCAAAACGGACAGCGATCTACTCTGCACTACTACACAAGCCTTCGGAACTCGAAAGAAGAACGGTCACAAAACCCCTAAACACAACAACATCCTATCTCAACTCATCCTTTCAAGGACACACAAAATCCCAGACAATGAACCCTATCCATCTCACATAATCAAGCTCAAACTCAAATCCATACACCTTTGTCAAACCAATACTCGCCATCTAACACACAACTACACCATCACATATTGGTACAAGCGACCACCAACCGCACCATTCGACAATCATTACACTTAACAACCTCAAGATGACTAAACAATGAATCTCCCAGTGACTACATAAACATTAGTCACCAAAATAATAAAACAAATTATCCTGTACCCAAGTCACCAGTTCTCAAAACAAAATCTTCAATAATTAATGATTGAATCGCAAACCCTATACCAGACACTTGGTACAACCTAACACACTTCATCACCCAAAACAAATCATCCGAATCCACACTGCCACACAGACACAATGCACAATACCGTGCTCTCACTATCCCTGACAAATTGAAACAATCATTGACCTTTGGCCCGACATCGTACTAAGAGGGACTGATTCAGGAGCAATGGTTTGCCAGGTCATTCTCATCATCGATCTGGCCTCAACACAGATATCGTTTCTGTCTTCAGGTCCAAACCTCAAACACACTCTTACACAGTCCACAAGACAACCATAAGATTCACTCGATATCTATCCATCGTCCTACGTAACCTCAACAACTATACAGTCATATACCTGCTCTAAAATCCCAATCATACTTTGATTAAACAACCATAAAAAGCTAAAAGCAATACGACACCAAATACCACAGTCATCAACTAGCATAAAAGATCTCTAATCTCCTCTTAACACCCATACCAGGTAAACAACTCCATAGCATTACTCGATTCAATTCTTACCTCGTCAAAACACACATGTAACTATTTCATGCCTGAGATCTCAAAACCAAAGTCAATCATTCCTATTATTTCTCAATAGAATCACACATCCACTTTCTCTAATCACAAAATTCTAAGACAATATCGACACTTGTCCTCAAGGCACTGCTCGAATCAAACGCCTATAAAAACTTCCGAGTACATGACTCACATCACATCACTTAATCGTCTTCAAACCGTTGCTCAATACATATCCCCTAGCCATCTCTGCTAGTACCAAACACCGGAAACACAATTCCTATTCGGCAACTCGTGCTTCACATTCCATCGATTAAGACCACTCCCAAAACAAACGCTACTAAAAACTAACGACTTAATCTCCCTCCATGGGAGTGAGTCGACTAAACTAACCAAACCTTTATCGATGAACTCTAACAATATAACAACCACACACAGGTCCGTTCACCCACAGACGCGCACAACTCGTAAACGGAGAACAAAACTCATGACAAACGACGTCTTTGCTAGGATTAGAGCAAATGGAAAGGGTAACGACCTCGCTCTCACAAGAGACTGATCACTTGTACCTGAATCCACCCGACACCCTATCACACGCTACTCACCAATCGTCCAACCATGGACACCCAATCTCACCTAAGACGAAATGAACTCCCTACACATAAGGAGAAGAACCAATTGGAAACACACATGGGACTACGACCTCGATTCCAAGTGACCTCACCACTAACGGACCGTCACACTTTATCAACACAAAACCTTGCATATTATACACTACGATACCCCTACTAATCAAAACCAATCAGGTAAGAACACCGACGTTCACGGCACACTAACACTAGAAACAATCACAGCTTTTCGGACATCACGTCTCGTTCTACCTAGAATCAGTCACTCCCATCCGACAACCTCTATGCCATAAAACGACACTTTACCATCCATTCCCTCTCTACCTTTCTGGGCGACACTCCCTCAAACACCACGCTCACAAGACCCGTGACCTCAGTCACAACAATCCACTGACTCCTCAAAAGAAAAAGGTGCCTATCCGGCAACACCACTCTCGTTGGTTCTAAAAACTAAACCGTCCACAATCGCCTCAACTGGCGCACAATCCCATCACCTACCTGATAACATACAACAATACTCACAATTCTAATCTATCCTTAGATCATACCTGAAACAATTATGCTCATCAATACTAAACATCACACCATAACGTCTCTACTGCCACTCATTTGAAACAACGGTTTAAACCTATCACCCCACCAGACCATCAAGCCACAACTAAGCGATTCTTCTTCAAACATCCTTAAGGTAACACCATCAAAACAAGAACTAACCATTCCTCTCGATACTCCCCCCACAACAACCACTATTTACCACTAGGAAAGAACCTCCATACGGCAATGCCATGCCGACAAATCCTCGAATAAACTGGGCACAATCTCAGAATGTTCAACACCCAACAGTCTCCTCAAAATCACCAACTATGCAATCAATCATTAATACTTAACCAACTACTTAAACCACTCTTTCTAAGGCGATCTGCATGCCTAAACAAGAAAACTTAATACCCTAGGTTCAATACCATTACCTCCCTTCTTCGTTGTTCCTCAGAACACCCTTGGCCCCAACAAATGTCAAATGGGGCTAACAACTAAACCCACAAAATCAACCTCGTCCCAATCATCCTAATCATCAGTCTACCTTTTCGAATCCTCAAACACCAAGCACAATCTCCTGATACCTCAGACATAACATAAAATCCAATTCCAGTCCAGAGCTTTCAAATCCTAGAACATAGTCTATTTGGTAACACCGTACCTACCATCAATCACTTCATCCGTAAACGACCGAGCACTTTAATGACCTCATACAACCTGCCTTATAGTGCAATCATGCTCTACACAACTAAAACGAACCACTATACACTACCTTGAGACTCTTTCGACAACCGTGACAACTTATAACCCCACTCATCCATCGAACCATGTAATCAACTTACTGAGAGTTAATTACCCGTAACACGCTCCTACAACTATCCAAAACAAGAATCACTCCTTGACAACCCAGTCTCCAAAATAGACTCTTATAAGACACAAAGTTCTCCACACATTGCAACCGGTCCTATATCACCACAGACCTATAGAATCTAACAAGTACCCATGACAGTCAGAACCAACACGCCTCTTCAGACCGTACCAGAAGATACACATCTACATCTCATAGACTACATTCGTGACTCAAATAACTTTTGTCACACCTACCACGACCTGTTCGAAAAGAACCTCTGCACCAAACTGTGACCCATGTCACAAACACTAACCTTCTAAGGTCATACCTTTCTTCCTCGAAACCCTCACTCGCACACCTGACCTCCACGGTCACAGGAACCCATCCACCGATGTATGACACTCACACACAACAAAGGCACCATGCCATGAAATATGAACCCGTTCTAAAGTCGTGCCCTAAGCACCGCACAAAATGTAACAAGAAAAACAAGATGATACACACTGAATAGCTCAATCTAGGAGTTAGAAGTCCACGCCATTCGTTTGATAAAAACCGGCACCCCAAACAACCCTGGAGTAACCGAGCTCCTCGCCTACTCAGGTCAAAACCCACACAACCGTCTACGTCGCAACAAGTACTCTACCGTAGTAGCGACAATCCTAGGCTCGACCACATATGCAAATAAATATAAAGATATCTATATATAAAATGACTGTGACCCACAATACCATATGAAACTTGTTAATTTTGTTTGCTTAATTGTTTATTTGCATTTATTAATTGATTTAATTATTTTTATGTGAATTATTTGACTTATTTACATTGTTTAGTTATTGTGTGTTATTTTTCTTTACTTGTTAATTGTATTATTTTTATTTGTAATTCACTGTTTTAATGAGGTTAAATTAATGTAGTTATTGTAATGTTAAAATTAGGTTATTAAATTTAAGTTACGTATATGCAGCTGAGTATATTATAACCTAGGTTGCTCTATGGGCCGACTAAGATCGACATTAGGGCTCTGTCTCTAATCATACAGGGAATATGATTTTATTTAAGTCTCTATATATATAGAACAGTACGTCGACTTAGGGTTTTCAGAATACACAACCCCTATTCACGTACTAAGGTTACAGAGAGAAATAGAGAGTAAGTTCATAAAATAGAGGGTTGAGAACGGAGGCACCGTAAGGGCTGTCAAAGAGAAGAACAGAGAAGACCAAGGGAGTGTTATGGTGGATTAAACCAAAACCATAGGAGGCTTTAACGGATTCAGTGGTTGCCGGAAATTCTGAAATCACAGGTAAGTTCTTTTCTTCCTCTTTTCCGTTGGCTCGTGGTCTGTGCACCTAGATAGTCTCTAGGGTTTAATTGATCATTAACTGAGATTTACATGTTTATTATATGCTATATTGATGATCTGTATGTGTTGAAATAAATTCTGTTACAGTCGTGCATGTCTGAGTTTTAGTTTTATTCTTTAAGCATGTTAAATCGGTATGGTTGTAATTACTATAATTGCTTTCAACTACTATAAACAAACCTTGGGGATGCTAATGGGATTAGATAAGACTCCTAAGTTCAATATTGAAGAGGAACAGAGGGGTTGGAATGGCCGGAGATGGAGCAGACGGGCTGAAACGGAGTGTAATTGAGTAGAAAGCTCTCAGAGGAGGTGAGAGCCGACTCCATGGAAATGGGAGCTGGCTCCCACACTCATAGAGCCAGCTCCAAGGTGCTTGGAGCTGGCTCCCAAGCATAAAGAGCCTGCTCCCAAAGTCATGGAGCAGGCTCTCTCTCAATTTTTGTTTTTCTGATATGTTTTGACGCATTGTTGAGACTGTTTGAGGGTGGAACTGTTCTGGGTGATTAATGGGACTTCATAGAGGGATTAAATAGTTAATTTTGGGTGTTATTAAGACCTTAGATTGATTAAATTTGACCTCTAATTCAATGGGACAAACAGTATAAAATTAATGAACTTTCTATATTGATAACGGATGGAAGACAGATTAATTGCTTAATTAAATTTTAGCAATTTAATGGGATTCAGTATGTTTATAAAACTTATTTTAAATACATGATAGGGTCATTTATGTATTAGTTTTGATCTATGCATGCTTTGGATGCTAATTATTGAAATATTAAACCTTTTTTGCAATTACATGGATTAACGCTTGGATTTTAGTTGCTGAAATATTAAATACTCTTCTGCAATTATTTGGATAGTGGTTTTGGACTGTAAATTACTAAACTATTATTTATGTATTATAATTTACATGGATATGGAGGATTGTATGCACCGGTATAGGACGGTGGCATACTAGGGATGTTTTAGCTCAAAAACGCTAAGACCTAACTTATCGGATTAAAGGAATGGATTGTAAAATATTGAATCCTAAATTGTGTTTAAGTCAGATCAACTGATTAAGTTGAGTGACTTCCTGGATTAGTTGGTTGTAGTTAAGTCATATCAGCTGAATAAGTTGAGTGACTAACTGGACTGTGTTTTGTATGTCACCTTAATGAATAATTGAATGACATACTCTAGTTTCGGATGGACTTTAGATATATGATTATGGTACCACGAGATGAGCTTGAGTCTCAAGCTCGTTAGTTAGGGTGCGTATATGCAGTGGATTCGTAGCTGGCTATAGTAGGTTGATGTGTACCCTGTTAGGTCTAGGTATTCATGCCCACCTTTGGGTGCGTTTTCGCATGTTGCCTTCTATTCAGGTTGAGACCCCTATTATAGTCCAGTGAATGTCCCTTAGTGTGGATATATATATGTATGGACTAAATAGATATTATGAGGTATCTAGGGTGTATCTGCGTATCGGATCACTGTATAGATTGCAGTTAGCTTAGAACTTGTTCGTGGGCCTGACCCACTCTTTTATTCTTTTCAGGTACAGGACGTTTCCAACCTTAGAGCTTGATCGTGCTTGTCGAGGACAGTCTCTTATTCATTTGCTTACGTAGGACTTCTCTCGATGTTCTAGTTTAATTTATTTTTCAGTTATTTTAGTTCAGTTGGGATTTTATTTAGGGGTCCACTATATGGATTCCCGAGTTGTACTCCTGGAGGTTTTGGAGAGTTGGATTTTATAAATCTTTAACTTCAGAGAATTTTATATTTAGAATTTCTTTCAGCTTCATTATTTATTTCTTTTCATATTATGTGTTCGTTTTAAAATACTTTAATTGTTTGATATTCCCTCGAGTTTGGGCCTGGGCTTGATCAACCCGTGTCTCGGATCCGAGGGGTATCACAACCGTCCTTTCCTATGTTAATACATAATATACGTGTCATCCCAGGTTTTATAATAATAATAAAAAATAAATAAATAAACAATAATAATAAAATGAGATCATAGCTACAAAAGTATGTCAAAACGGTTTACTAACCCATCGAACCCTGTGGAGGAACGTCGTCCGCCACTTCCCGTCCGTGTCCTGAAAAATGTTAAAATAATGGGGTGAGTATAAGCTCAGTAGGAGGTGTCTAAGACACACCTCTTTTGATCCCGTGAATCCACATATAGAATAGAAATCAAGAGAATAGGATCATACTATACCGGGGATATAATCCATAACTACAACGTCAAATATAACCACAATTATACCATGTATTCCAATGAAGTGCAATGCCATGCTCATATCGCTTTCCATTTCTGAAACATTTCCGTTTCAACTTCCAAATCGTTAGTGCAATCCGACCCAAGGCACCTCCAAGGCGTCACGAAAGGAGGATTAGCTAACTATCCACGACCATAAGGCACCTCCAAGGCGTCACATCCGGCGTAGTTAGCTCAACCATACTCCCCTCTAAATTACACTAACACCACGGACCACTAGGCGCCTCCTAGGCGTCCGGATTTTCACAAACACATTTCAAAAACCTATCCCCAAAAAATTTCATTTGTTTTCTAAAAACACTTTTCCTTTTTCTTTCCCAATGGATGCATGAATGCTTCATGATTCCAAATGCTAAGTTCAATAACCAAATTTCCATGCATTTCACCCATATATCATAACCACATCTTGTAAAGAAAATCTCTAAACATTTATTTCTACAATTATAACATCAAGGTTTCATGGCAATTGGAATTCACAAAATATACAACTTGTCGTTTCTAAGCATGCTTCCTCACTACAAAAAGGTAATTAAGCTTACAAACTCATTTAACACATAGCATATATCCACCACTTTGTATATAAGCAACCATAACCACATAGTCAAAATAATTGGAATTAAACGTGTATATAGTCAAATTAAGAAGGAAAAATTCACATATAACCCAAGAAATTATGAATTAGAGCACCCCTACCTCAATGGATGTAAAAAGCCCCAATTGTGCCCAAATTTTTGAAATCCAGAGGGTGACCAAATTGAACTTTGCTCCGATCAAAACGACGGCTTCAATGAGCTCAACAACTTTGCTTAAGGGAGTACTATCAAATTTCCAAAGACAAAAGGGGATTAAGTCTTGAAAATCATGGCAAAAGAAAAAGAAAAATGCAAGAAATGAGGGGAAGAGAGATTCTGCCGAGAGAGTGAGATTTTGAGGCCTAAATGGCCTTATGGCCATTAATAAGTAAGTGGAAGGTGGGTCCCTCCACTAAGATATTTTTCCTTTTGCAATTTCCCACCACAATTATATGTATATGCTTTTTTAAATCCTAACCACACAACTTAGCTTAGAATAATGAAATTATACACAATAAAATTATACATAAAACTTGTGACATGACTCCCGTGCACACTAATTCTGGTAATGGGTCCCACTCGGAACCGATCGGTTCGAAAAACAGAAAAATGCCAAAAAGGCAACTGATGCATTTCCAAGAGTCCTAAACTTAAGTAAATGTTCTAACCAATTCTCGAACACACCCGACACACCCCACGGTGTTCGGCACGTAAAACGAGAAAAGACGAATATGTCCTCGTAAAAATCAGAAAATTTTCAGAAAAAGAAAATGGCAAAAATTCGGAAGCATACACTCAAATTAAATACGGTTCACCCATAACCATTAAAAAGCGGATGGATATAGGCGGGTTGATGGTTCCTGATTCATTTTGTCGCCCCTAGTTGGTATATGTAGACACTAAAAATTTAATAGACTTTGATTTTGACAAATTGACCCATCAAATATAGATTTAATGTTTAATTAAGTTATTTAACTGTCTCAAGCTTAGTCCACTTAAATTATTTAATTTGTCCAGCCCAGCGCAAATGATTAAATGAAAAGATAATTATTCTTAATAAAATATATTCGAAATAATTATTTTTAAGGATAATTATCATAATATAACCGGCCCGGCCCAGTTATGATTTTATCCTTATCAGGATATGATACGTGTCATCATCCTATTAATCCAAGAAGCCTATAAATAGAGACCTGGAGGAAGGAGGAGGGGGATACAAATTCAGAATTCAGAATTTCAGAGAGAAATACAGAAACTCCCAAAGGCGAAGAACACCTAACATATCAAATCGTGCTGCTCTTTATCAAATTCCACGGTAATTAATAACAAGCACATCAAATCGTGCCGTTCTTCATTCAAATTCCACGGTGATTCAAGATCAAACTCGTGTAGCCCTTAAATACTAACAAAGGAGATTGAATGAGAAGACTTTATTCTCTGTAAAGAATATTACAAAGCAGATTTGGGAGAGAATGGAAGGCTTACCTTTTTCTTCAAGTCCGAAAATGCATCCCCAACTTCTGCAGAACCAAATGTCTCTTCTGAAGCCGAGGCTTTGATCCAGAACAAAGTCAGCCTATTGGAATCGGTTTCAAAGAGAAATTAAAAACATTATGCAAATTGTTTGAAATAATGGATTTTGTCATTTGAAATGAACTTGGGCTATGTTCGGGCTGTCTGAAACTAGAGTCTTGCAATTGAAATTAGAAAAAAGTAACTCACAAAATTGAACTAAATTATTTCCAATTATACCAATTCCAAGCAACGGGACGCAGACTTAGACTATATTCAGCTGCATCGGAGCCTTGGAATTGAAGAAATATTTAGTTCAATTCCATCAATTCCAATTCCGGTTCCAAGTTAAGAAGAAATGCAGTAGGCTTTCCGCACTTCTTTTTTTTTTTTTGTTTTTTACAAATAGATCCTTTCAATTCTATTGAAAAAGTGAACAGGGCCACTTTCAAGTCATCCAAACATGTCCTCGGCACTAATCAGAAACTCATTTCAAAATATACCCAAAAATGATTTGAAGATTTTACTTTGAAACTAAGCAAATAATTTAAGATTGGAAGATAAAACAAAATAATTTCCCAAGATTTAAAAGTTGAGAATTATTCATAAAATTCAACCAACTTACAGAAATAAATAAATTCTCAAAATATCGACCAATTTTTATTGAGTAGAAGAAAACTTTGAGAGCTTAGTACCTGAGAATTGCTTTGAAGAAACTGAGAACGATGTAGAAAACGAACGAGGAAGCAAAAAGTTGGTGATACGAGGTACTAACACCACTGTTGCATAAGCTGTTGCCATCAGCTCTCCCTTCGGTCCCCGTCTGCACCCTTTTTTACAGTCAAAGTGTGGCTTTGTGTGTGTGTGTGTGTGTGTGTGTGTGTGTGTGTGTGTGTGTGTATAATATAAAAAGTTAAGTTAAGTCGCATCAAACTCATAAAATAAATTTTTTTTAATCGAATGGACGTAATCTGTTTTTACTATAGTACACCTTCTAAAATAAATGTATCTTTAAATTTGAACCATTTTAAACATTTTGCGCATAATCATGTGAGATTATGCACTTGTACCTCGCTCAGTGCGGTAGTCTGTCAGTACATTATATCCGCCCAGAAGGTCACAACAATCACCCCCTTGGGGTCCAACGTCCTCATTTGCCACATTTCTAATTGGATTAGGCTATAATATCATTTGTAACTACCCTCATCCTTACAGTTTTCAAAAAAGATATTTATTTTGAGACAGAGGAAATAGTATAGTAAAAAAATTACGTGCATTCGATTAGAATTGTGCATAAATTTTTAATTTATGAAACATTTATTTTGACACAGTGGGAGTACTATAATAAAAAAAATTAAGTTTATTTTATTAGAATTATGTATAAATTTTCGAAAAAAATTATTTGATGAGTTTGATGCAACTTAACTAAACTTTTTAATTTAATATATCAATATTGAAGATTATTCCATTTTTTAAATACTAAAAAAAGAAAAAATAATGCAACTCAAAAGAAAATAACACTTAAAATTAATGAGATAAGAGCACTAATAAAATAATAAAATACAATAATAAGAATAACTTAAAGAAAATTCAATAATGGTAAAGTAGAAGAAGTATGGTTTGTCAGCAACTGCCACATCAATAAATATAAAAAACCTATCGGTATTCTTTATTTTTTACTATTACGATTTTCCAATGATTTTGATTTCAATTAATAAAACAATGTCCATATATGTATATTATAAAAAAATAATTTAAAATTTAAAGTTATAATTTAATAAGGGTTAAACCTGTCGTTAAACAACCAACCGTTAGTGCTGATGTCAGCAGGGAAAAATGAGTGAAAAGTCAATTTTGCCCTTCTAATATCTTTAACCTAATTAACCAATGTATAATTACAAAAGTATCCCTAACTTATTAACTCAAAAGTACAACAATGCCCTTATATATTCCTTACTCGACCGTCACCGTCTTAGAGAGATGTCAGACGAAGAACATCACTTTGAGGCGACGGGCGATGCAGGGACCTCCAAGACCTACCCACAGCAGGCAGGAACGATTCGCAAGAACGGAAACATAGTCATCAAGAACAGGCCATGCAATGTCTAAATTTGTATTTTTCTTCAAATTTGATAGTGTGTTTGCGTGTTTGATTCTGAAGTCTTATATGGGTTCTTTATTTTTGTTAAATCTTTGATGGGTAATTTTATTCTTGTGATAATTTATGCTTTTTATAAGAATTGATGCCACACATTATTGTTTTATATTCAATTTTTTGTGGTGTGTATGAGACATTTCTATTCCTTTTAATGAGTGTGTATGTTGTCTTTGTGTCGATGCAATGGTTTTAGATGGAAATTTTTGTATTCATCAGTAGATTTCTAATGCAGGGTTCACATTCTAACATTGAATCTCCTTTTGTTGGGATTTGATCACCATCGAGCTCATCGTCACCGCCGCTTCACACCAACGCCACCACATACATTGCCACAACAAAACCCAACTTAGAAGCTCCATACCCAATCACCTCTACAATTAAACCCAATACCCACACCCCAGTTGCAAGACCAACTGCTACAGAGTCTACAGTGAAACTAACTAGCAGACCCATCTATTTGCAATGGATTAGCAACTTCTACAGTCTCATTAAGACATCTTAGCCGCTGTGCAAAGCCCACCGTCATCACCCCAAGTCTACCACCGATTAGGATCAGTCCTCGCTGAGCTCCTCCTCACTGCCTGTTGTCACCTGAATCGCGATTTGGAGCAACGAAAGAGAGAGAAACTGACTCACAGAAGAAAAGCAAAGCTGCCACCTTCAAGAGAAGAGGATGATTCGGCTTTACAAGTTGCTGTCCGTCGCTTCGCCCATCGCCCATCGCCGTCGAAAACGGGTTAAGTGAACGACGATTGGGTTGTGCGTTTGGGCCCGCGATTGACGATTTGACGCGAAGTCGTCGGCGATTGGGTTGTGCATTTGGTATTCCGGGTTGAGTGAACGGCGATTGGGTTGTGTGATTGGCGACGACCATGATGGGTGCCGACGGTGGCGCGGGGAGGATGGACGCGCAGAGGAGGGATGCTGTGGGTTTCTAATTTTTGTGCAGGTTTCATGTATATTTCTGTATGTATGTAGGGTGTTTTTGTCTTTTTAGATTTAACTCCAAAATTGTATAAATATTAATATATAATTGATGGGTAAAATTGTAAAATCACCCAATTCTGTTAGTAAAGCAAACGGCCATCGCAGAGAGAGGGGAGGTAAGTGAAATGTTGAAACTTAGAGGGGTGTGGATGGAATATGGTCAAAGGTCAGGGGGTGTAGGTGGAATTGACCTATTTAATAAACTGATATGCTGTGTAGAATTCTGATCTCTTTTTCATTGGTGAGCAAAAGAATTTATCCGCACTTTATATTTGAACCTTTAGATCAAATTTACCTGTCCAATTCAAACCCACTAATTTTCTTTCCTTAACAACAAAATTCTTTCCTCAGGGCTCTTCACCAAAATTTGTACCGACAATAAAAATTTGTGCCAACCAAATTTAGGGGAAATAAACACCCTACTATTTTCACAAAGATTCACAGAATTCCTTTTTCTTTTATTTTTTTTCTTGTGCACTCTCAACATATCACTGAACGCATATAAAGAATTACATATTACGAATTAAAAATTTGATTTTCAAAAATAACGAAAATGAGAAGATGAGTATAACTTCGATTAGAGAGAGATAACTGATAACACATACCAAGGAGATATCAAAGTCATGAAGGTGTTTTTAAATTAACAAAGCGAGGAGCAATGAGAAAAAAAGAAAAAAAAAAAAATTTATCCGCACTTTATATTTGAACCTTTAGATCAAATTTACCTGTCCAATTCAAACCCACTAATTTTCTTTCCTTAACAACAAAATTCTTTCCTCAGGGCTCTTCACCAAAATTTGTACCGACAATAAAAATTTGTGCCAACCAAATTTAGGGGAAATAAACACCCTACTATTTTCACAAAGATTCACAGAATTCCTTTTTCTTTTATTTTTTTTCTTGTGCACTCTCAACATATCACTGAACGCATATAAAGAATTACATATTACGAATTAAAAATTTGATTTTCAAAAATAACGAAAATGAGAAGATGAGTATAACTTCGATTAGAGAGAGATAACTGATAACACATACCAAGGAGATATCAAAGTCATGAAGGTGTTTTTAAATTAACAAAGCGAGGAGCAATGAGAAAAAAAGAAAAAAAAAAAAAAAGAATTAATCCTAGAGTTCCATCTTTTGGACATCGGCGATGATTCCTTGCTTGGATTAAAAGTTGAAGTCATAGCATTCGAAGCATGATCAAAGAGTTAGTTCTCTGAGAGAATACTAATTTTTATTCCAATAGAGATGAGAGTAGTAGAATTTCTTTGTTCCAGATAGATTTTGGTGGAAGACAGTTGAGTAGAGAATTTTATTGTTTTGGTAATTGTCTTAATTATTAAATTGGGTGGCATTACAACTCTTAAATTTAGAAACTAAAATAGGTTGAAAGTAGTTTACAATGTTTCAATAGAAAGGGTTTTAAAAAGTTTATTGCCATGGAATTGTAATTTCCCTTTGTTCAATAGAAGACCGAAACCTAGGGTCTTTGCCTCTTTGGTAGTTGATTTATTACTGGGATTTGCGCTCGGATTTTTGATGTCATATGAAAGACACTTTTGGCACTGGTTGATTGCTGGTGTACTGGGGTGTGCATTAATGTTTAGAGAGAGAGTTCTGGATAATTGATTGATTGTGGTTCAGTTTAAAGATTTATTTATTTATTTTCTTGTTTGTTTCTTTAAAACAAAGTCTGCGTCTTACTAAAATCATAATTGTGATTAAACTGCAGAAGTCATTCTATGATTTCTTACTAAGTGGCTATAACTCTTACTTGATTGATTGTTTGGACTTTGAGTTCCTCTTTCGTGACATTTGATATTGTGAGAGACCACCAATAGTGGATGAGAGAGCGTAGTGTCACAGGCTTAGGGTTTCAGCACCATTTTAGTTACTCCCGTGCGGTATTAAGATGTTGCTTCTATTCTTGTAAGTGCTTAGTCAGTTTAACTCCCGTGCACACCTCAGCCAACACACTCCCCTCCTGCGCTTACTAGTATTGTAGTGGTCCTCGCCATCTCCTCACTTGGCTTACACACTCACACACATTAAGACACTTAAGTCATCTCCTCACTTGGCTTACACACTCACACACATTAAGACACTTAAGTCATCTCCTCACTTGGCTTACACACTCACACACATTAAGACACTTAAGTTGGCAAGGAAAGAACACTTCTATTACTTCAAAGAATGTTTTGTACAAGGCTAGCACTCAAACTCTGTACAAGGCTCTCAAGACTCACTCTAGGACTTGTTGGCTACAAAATGAAGTCTTACTCCTATTTATAGGCATCCCATCCCTAATGGATGACTAGGATGCATTCGAACTAACGGTAGAGATCGATTCTCTAGAATCTTTTCCCACATTTTTCACACTTTCATACTTATCTACTAGTATCTACAACATTCTAAACTTTCCATACTACACACAATTCTAGAGAACTCTAGAATATACTACACATATCCAGAATCTACCATACAACTCTAGACAATTCCGAAAGACTTTAGAAACTCCACTCGCCATGCAGTTGTTATACAGCGTCCTCCTCAGCGTCTGTGTGTCGTCTGCGTGGCATAACTTCCATAGGCAGGGCGTGACAATATGCAAGGAAACTTGAAAATTTAATTAAATTCTGTATTTATGCTTCAAATCTGGAATAAATAGAGTTGACTAC